ACTGTAAAATGACTAATTTTCACTGGGTTTAAATTTCACTGATTTACCATTTCGGGCATATTCAGTGGGTTTTAAATTCACGGTTTCGTCATTTAGATAATGTGTTCTATGCTAAATTTTACATATTCACTGTGTTTTAATTTAGCGCATTTTTCCAGTCAGCGAAATAAGCTAAATTAAAACCCAGTGAATAATTACCCCCTCTACAGTATTGCTAAATACATTAAAAATAAAAGACGACATGCATGAGGGAAACGAATTACAGTTGTAAAAGGTGCCGCCATGAAATCAACATGTGACTACGTAGTGGCGCCGGATTTTGATTTCTTTGCTGTGAAAAATACTACACACAAAGGGGAAAACGACACGAGGGTAAAAAAAGACAAGGAAAACTTATCCTACCAGCTACCATGTCGGATACCGAGCAGCGGCAACAACCCAAGCTATAAATCCGGACAGGAAAAAAAAGCAGGCGATCCAGCAGAGCTCACTAAATTTCATCTCCACTCGAGGCGGAGAGAAATTAAGAGTGATGGACGGCTGCCTATGGCGTTGCCATGTGGCCTCGGTCACGTGGGTTCGTGACGTAAGGGGTAAAAGAATCTTGAGGTCATGGGGCTTCCCCTGACCTGGATTCTATCTCTCCGTCACCGGCAGAATCGCTCATTAATGCCTACAGTTCAAAATAGTCATTTTGACTGACCGGAGTCTATGGTGGGTAATTGAACGTAGTGAATTTGAATTTTCTCATATTCAATAAATAATATTATAAAAGGAGTTAATAGTTTGATTACAGTTGTTAACTGAAAAACAATGAAAAAGATTTAAAACACTGAGAAAACTGATGCTTTAACACTGACCTGTTTCTAACAGTAGAAAGATCCAACTGAGAAAAACAAAAAGTGAAGCTTTATATTAATATGATATTGATATGAATAATGTAAAAGTTCAAATAAAACATCACAGCGAATGAAAATAAGCCTAGCAAGACACAGTCCATAAGTTATCAAATTTAAGATATATAGTTTTGTCTATAGTAATATCCCGGTAGAACAAAAACATGTCAGAGCTATGGACCCAGAAGCTGATGCTTGATTATGATGATTTTTTAATATTAAGATGAATGACATTCAGTCAACTTTTATTTGATCATCAAACAAGTACTTGTCCATATTGGGAGTTACTGCTCTGGAACAGCATTAATTTTAACAAAATGGCCATTTTGAATCAGATCATCGAACCAATATATATGTATATCTATGACATGATGTATAAGAAAACATATAAAATTTTGAACATAATCAGTCAAAGCATGTCTGAACAGGAGAATTAAGTTCTAAGTTGTGTTTCACTGCCAGAGTTACTAGCACAGTATGACTTGCATATGGTTCTGTACAAAAACACATGGAATAAACAATGTCCTTTTTACAAATTAATAATTTAATTATTAAATATGTATTTATTCATCATTAACAGTTTGGAACATATGTTCCACAATTTCATTGCAATAAAGGTTTGACTGCTGATTTGTAAACAGTTTGAATCAGTGCCTGGTTTGAATATACCATAAGTCTCAATGCACCAAATGGACCACAGTCAGCCAATTAATATATCACGCAAGGCCAAAAAAAAAAAAAACAATAATGAAACTTACTCTACTCCATAGACTACTGGTCTGTGTTATCATTTTCCATGACCGGCACACCATAGCACAGCGACCAAGATCAACAATATCACAGAAGCTGAATATCTGAAAATAAATACAAGATTTTTCTCACAATGTTGTATGCAGTTTGTATTCTGCTATAATTCCCCACTTAAATGGCTTGAATTTACCTGATATCTAGTTTGAATTAAAACTTCAATACCCAAATTTAAGCACAAGTGGGGTGAGGGAGAACTGAAATCTTGAGAAATTTCAATCAAATGAATGTCACAAATACACTCTTGTAATAGTTGTAGATATTCACCCCAAATGTAGTAATTGTTAACCCACACTGACAGGCGATTAAATTACCTTTATTGCAGCTTTTCTTGGCAACAATGAGACATCATCTCTAGCTTCACCACGAGGACCCAATTGATCATCATCATCACCCAATTCACCACGTTCTAATCTCTACAGTTATACAATCCAGGGATTAAAATAAAGAGAACTACCTTGTAACATTACATGCATAAAGAATAAATACTGTTATGACTGTAAAAAAATCAGGCTATATGACCTGTAACGATCTATACAATGTAAATGTTTATTGACAAAGTTATACCATATATACACTAAGTACAGAACACAGTGAACAACTGTAACGTAATGACACAAACGAATTACTTAATGGCACGATTCATGAGAGATGACAAATACAGTAGTGAAACACATTAATCCAGAGTAAAATCAGCAATCGTTTGTGTGTCAAGCGGCAATAATTATTATATTGCATACAATCACATCTTCTATATCTCTCAAATTTATTTCACTTAGTACAGCCATCTTCTCATTACATGAGTGCAAACAAATATTGCTTTATAGTTAAGTGAAGTATATAATAAAAATATGACTGTTTATCACTACAATGACATACTTAATTCAAAAGTTCTGAAATGTTCCTAAATTTTGGTTTAAAAAAAAAAACCTACAGTGAAAACAAATGATTTTAATTAACAGCTCTATCAAAGACATGTTGTTGTTTTTTAAAACAAGCCAATGCAAATGATATAAACATCTATAAAATAAATGTGACTATTATAAGCCTGCTCAAAACACCACAGGAATGTATGCAGAAACATGCAGATTATTTACTAGCTAACTTTAAATGGAGCTACGTTAGTTTATTTTAGGACTATTCGGCTGACTGGCTTTAGTTTAAACTTACCGTGGCCTGTGACTAGACTCAGATAAATAGAAAGTAGCAGAATGGGTTTGATTGGACACGAACGATGAAAAACAAATGAACAGAGTTTAATATATAATAAAATATAATGTGCAAATTTGTGCAATGGTACACCACAATATAAAACTTTAATGCAGGTCACAAATTCAACCATGCAAAAAACAATGTTGAGATTAAAGTGGTAGTTGTATGGGTATGTCTTCCAATAAAATGATAATAAACATGCCAGAAACTGTACAAATTAGTTTCACTCAGCTTAAGATACTAGAATGGCTTTTAAACAATATTAAATAATATTTTTGCAATAATTTGATGCTTTTAGTGCAGATGAAGAAAAGGGCAGAAAAAACTCACACAGCAAGACCTATTCATGCCTGTTTACAGAAACAACTGAAAAGTAAAACAACAGTTTATTGGTTTAGATTATTGGCATACAATTATTTTAGTCTTAATACTCACCTCAAAGTACTCCCTTGTTCTTCTGGAATCAAGCATAACATTATGCCATGCTTCAAACACAAGACGACTCAATGATGTATGGAACACTTTCTGTATTTTGTTGAAAGACACTAAAATAAAAGACAAAACTTAGTGAAAGACAGATGTATCAATGTATAAGTACATCCATTTATTTAAGTTTGGCTACAACTATTACATATTTTTTTTTTTCATTAATCAATACAATAAGACAGGTGAATCTGGCAGCCAAAATATCTAGTACTAACAGGAGGCTGATTGGATGAAAAAAAAGACAGTCATAAAGAAATCCATATAATGTTGGTGATGCCAAGATTTCTCAATGTGCACTGAAGACAAAAGCAGCACTGACAGTTTTTATCATGACATCTCTATATGATAAGACAACCGATTATAGCATGTTTTCTTGACAGAGACAAAATATATATCTCATGATGGAGTGTTTGTCTACTGAATTTGCACATTACTTACTCATTGCATGCCAAAAAAAACAAATAAAGTCATGGGTAAAAAAAATAACTGCAACTTGGATATCTGGAATCAGATATCAGTAATGTATAGGAAATTATACTAGTAAGACCATTAACAGTCGGCAAAATGGGTCAAACCCTTCTTTGGTATGAGGCGAACAGTTATGGAATCTGTTTTCAATTTAGGATTCTAAATTGGCCTTATATTTAATTGAGAATGTTACATAATATATTATCATACAGGAGGAACATTACATTTCCAGGCTAGAAACTATAAAGAAAGTAACAAAATATTTTAGCGATATGACTGATATTTACATTCTTGTCTGGTTTTTCTGAATGTAAACCAAGCCCTCCAGTTTTGTAGATTTACTCTTTGTAATCGTAGATGATAATACTGCGTTGCATTAGCCATTTTCCTTTCCAACTCTGCCCTTTTGCGCATTTTGCGTTGGTGATATAATATCCAAGCACTGGTAGAAATAAATAAAATTTAATGAATATTATTAATAAGTATACTTACTTTATGACAAAAAAGGCTACAAATGTTTGAATTCAATCAATCAATGCACTGCTAAGAACAGAGAAAACATCATTATTTTTGGACACATTTTGACTTAAGAAAACATAATTAACATGTACAGATCCAAACAAAAACATAATATACATACGTACATTTTAGTAATACATCATTTTAATAAATTTTGTGAAAATTGATTGCAGCATTTCAGAGTTACGACGTGGCACACATTTTTACTATTTATTGTTACCAAAACGGGCTGTTTTTGTTTGACAAAGAATGCCTTAAAATAACCATTTAATGGAAAAATTTAAATCAAAAAAAGCTTAGAAAGAACTTCTGTGTGCTGAAGGGATGTAAAAATAAGAAATACTGTATTTACAGTTAGCAGAGTTAGCAAATACCAATTGAAAGTATAACTGCAATGATCAGGGTGGCTCCAAGTAGGTATGGTTTAACAATTATAAATATTTAATGAAATAATGACCACATATGATGACTTGATATATTGATCATATATTCTTTCAGACATTATAGCACCAGTTGTATGTCCCTATCTGCAACAGTACAAAACAGTAACAAAAAACTAATCAGGTTTGCGCATAATCCTAGAGCATCTATGTTTCTTTAAAATATGTTGAAAAATATTTGTGGAGCAAAGTTTTAAAATTGGCCAATTTATATGCAAATTAGGGAATTAATATGCATGGATTTCAAAAAACCAATCAGGTCTGCGCATTATCCTAGAGCATCTGTGTATCAAGGTTCATTGAAATTCGTTGAATGCTCCTTGAGAAAAATTTTAAAAGGCTTAAAATAAAACTTATTTCAGGGCATCTATGTACCAAGTTTCAAGATCAAAGCAGGAGAGGAATTGTACATTGAATTGCAACATGTACTTACCCAAAACACATCTGAATCAATGATGCATTGTAATGCTGGTAGGCTTTAGCATATTGCTCTGGTGTAGGCTGATGCAAAGTAGAAACAAGTCTTAATATTATACCTTGGACACATGGTTATATACACCGTGGATATTAACAAAACAAATTGAAATAATATATTGTGCATATTGGTAGTTATTGTTAATGTAATATAAATAATAATCTTCATCCACATATCAAACAAAATTGTAAGGATTCATTATGATTTAAAATATTAATAAAGTGCAAAACTATATAAAAATAAACTGTGCCTGTGTGGGGATGGGTTCGGTACTACAATGTAACTGATGAACAAATACAACATAGTGAAAGTGTATTTATATAATCATTTTCTGGTAGCAACCTGCTTCTTCACTCAACATTCATTGAATATCAAATCTAATATTTAATACTAATGGGTGTTTTATTGTTGATGTCTCACTATGAATTGCTTTCATTGTGGCAACAACAACAAATTGTGCACTGAAAAACAAAACAATCTAGTTGGAAAGTTGAGCAAAGAAGAAGATTAAAATCACCACCATTCACACTTCAAGTATTTTCAAAGTCACATAAAGTTCAATCAAAATCGACATGTATTATATACAAGAGTCAAACAGGAAAATGTAAACAGGAATATGCTGTATAAAGCACATAAAATACTATTGACATTACCATCCTCTCCCATGGCTGTAGTGCGTTAAAGCAATGCGTACCAGTGAATTTATGTGTAATATTGTAGCATATTTACAAGTTGATATAACCAACAATAAAAAAATGATAAAATAAAGCATATTAATAATTATTATGGTAATTATACAATGTATGAATCTGGCTGCTAATAATGAAAAAAACAATGCATATTTTATGAGAGCAAACATAATAATATATATATATTAAATTAAAACACACATGATAAATGGAGTTATGAATATTGTCCACACAGCTTTATGCAAGAAAACATGCTTTAAATGAGGTAACACTTTAGAATATTAATAATAAATTATTGTTATCAATTAATACGTAAATAAAACAAATGAAAACATCCTAAAACACTAGCATGAAAATAGCATGTGTATACAGCAAGTCATATATAAACAGCATGCAAATGTTGAAGAACAAATTAAAGAAAACATATATCATGCCTCAGATTTTGACTGAAACATCCACAGATGACAGAAATGAGAAACATAGTATATGTGGTTCATCAGATCCACATACACTGTGCAACTCAAGGTCATTTGAAGGATGTAAACAGTCTCCCATGCACACACAATCCCTTGCATGCACACGAAGGCTCACGACACATACATATATATCAGCAATGTAGTGTTGTGCAATAATATTCAATATTTTTAGTTTCTGGCTTTTTTTTTATATAATGGATCATCCATATAACTATTCAGACTTCAAAATCCGACATAATCATAATCAGGACATCATCATTATTATTGTTGTTGTTGATAGTTGTGTTATTGGTAATTATTTACAAATTTTCATATAATACTGTGAGGAAATAACTGTAACTCCATATCTTTATCTATGAATATATCATATATATCAGGAGCAATGCAACATTACATCCATGTGCCTAAAGAAGTGGAATGTTAAAGTACCACAACATTGCATGTTCGGGTTTGATTCTCAATAAAATGCTCATGCCCTACACATGCTTTACATATTCCTGTTGTTCAGAAAACAGCTATTCGAGGTGACAAAACACTTAAGCATAAACAACTAAATTTAAATTACACACTCCCTTCCTTGAGAAGCCAGTTCTAAAAACATTCAAGTGCAATAGATCAGTGCTGATGCTGTATATATGCATGTACCTGTAAGTTTTCGTCATCAAAGTTGAAAAGACTGTCTAAATAGATGCTGGTGACAGGTTTTTCTTTTGGTTTCATTTCTTCTGGAATCAGCATATCCCTACATAGAAATTAAAAATAAATAAAATTATACAAGAAAACATGACTTGACTATGTAAGAGACTACTGCTATCGTCCAAGACACATGTACAATATACCACTGAACTACCGGTATATTGAATTGGACAATGAACATTCAACAATTTCCATAGTTATAAGCTGTAACTTGGCTATGACATTCAGTGCATTTGTACATGTATAAAAGATCAAAACACTGTGTCCCATACAGAATTTTAATCTTTTTAATGGCAAAGACTGGCCAAACATGTGACAATTCACAACAGCCCAGGTAAAATATGAATAAATCATGAAGGTTATAGCACTTAATTAAAGCACTTCATTTCATAATTTGATGAATGATGACATATAAAATCTATGTTCATTCTGTTACAATGTTTAAGTAGATGTACCTATTTTCACTATTAGAAGATCATAGAAACACTATATGTCATTTACTTAAGTGCTACTAACAGAGCAAATACAGTGTATACTACAAAAAATGATTAACTCATATATAATCATGTTAATATGAAAATGAATGTAGAGTACACAATCAAATGATAGTATTATGGTCAGTTATTGTTGCTTATAACAAAATTTGGCCATAAAGAATTGGATTGTCAAATATTACATACATGTATGCATATGTGGTATATGATGTATAAAAAAAAATTTGAAAGTGATCAGACAAGGCCTATCAGAGATATGGCTCTACAATGTATGTTACAAGTTTGAATGAAATCCATCAATACACATAGACCCATTCTTGATTGTGATGAATTTTGTGGCCGCCATGTAACTATCTTGAATCAGATTGTGAGACGATTAGATGCTAATATGTATCCCAAAGATAAACATGATGATGTATGAGGGAAGTTTGAGTGTGATCAGTCCAAGCATGTTAGACATACTGTAAAATACTTTATTTTTGCTTGGAATTGATTTTCACTTTTCGCTGATTTAATGAAAATAAAATCTAGTGAATAAACTTCTCTTCAGCGAAAATTAATTTCAGCTAAAATAAGGTATTTTACAAGTACATCAATTGACCTGAATGCATGTACGCGTACATAGAGGTCAATCCATAATCTCCATAATATTTGAATTTTGGTTCAAATAATAATCCAGCTGAAATGAAGTAATTGATGGTGCTAGAATGAACACAGAACAAAAACATTTCATAAACCATACCATTTTACAGATTCCAAACCTTGAAGTGGGTCAGTTCTCATTGCCATTATTTCACGTATTTTATCAGCAATATATTCCAGTGGTTCATCTGGGTTCATAATAGCTAAGCCTGTGATAATACACTACAAAGAAGATAAAAGACATACAATTGTTTCAAGAATGCATGAGGTTTTTATGAAAATTTACATAACATTTACTATAGAAGATCCTCCCATGTTCCATTCAAAACACTTTGAATTAATTATTGACAATGTAGCTACTAGCATCCTCACCATAGTTCACGCAGAATATAACGCAGGACTTTACAGAGACATCAAATTGCCTTGATACCCAATAAATTTTCCTTGATGTCCTTTGATATTCCCTACATGATTTTTATATACTAAGGCCTTTTTAAAAAATTTTGGCGATAAAAATGGATGCCTCTCAACTCTGATAACGTAATCACTCTTTCACAACAGTTAAATTATTGTTAGATAAAATGTCACACTGATCATTCAGACTAAATTTTATTAAGATTATTTATTTGCTAATGTATTGTGGTTGGTAAAATAATTTTTGATGATATTGCCATTTGAATGTCACTGTTTTAAAGTTATTATCAGGGACACTCTAGGTTTCACTTTGGTGGAATTGGTGAATGAGCAGTGTTATTCCTGATTATTTTTGGTGTATCCCTTCAAAGCACCTCAGTCATTGTGTGTTCCAATTTCATGAAAATAATGTTATAAAAATAATTTACAAATGCTGAATACAATTAACACAAGACCAAAGTTCCCCATGGAAACAATACGGTATACATAATCAAAAACACTAGAGAATGTAGCCAACAGTAAAGGGAATTGAATGATGTTTTTTGTGATGTCTCTTGGGGCATTGTGTTCTATTGAGAAAGCATCTGGTGCATGCAACAAATAAACAGACTAGTTTAGGTACCACTGTTTATGTTCTGTGGCATCAACTTATTTTTATTTGAAAATCAACAAATAGCGATATCGTTTACTTGCATTGAGTCACAAAGTAATTATCCTGCCAATTGTTAATTGTTCAAATTCTACTAGTTTTAGTATGTGTGTGATGCAATATGTCATGGAATATTCTTCTTGCACTGTGAATGTTTTAAATCACATTCGAATCCCAAAAGACATTATATCAATGAAAAAATTTAGATGCCTGTCCCATGTATTCTCTAGTCTCTTCGGTAGAACATCTCGTGTTCAAGTTCTTGTGACGTCACATGTGAATGATCTAGTTATCAGTCTACCATGTTCAAGTGTAATCATTATAGATCATACAATATTGTAATGATCTTTTAAATATTTCGGCACATATGTTTTTGATGCCACTAATTTGGTTAAATTTTGCCAATTTCTTACAAGCAACACATCAGGCCCATGTCATTTTCCAGATTGAACACTGGACAAATATACAAATAGAACTAAATAGAAATAAATAAAAGGGTCGACTTAGATTCAATCATTCAATTGAAAACAGAAGACAAATCTGTATACTCAGACAATGGGGATCACATTGCACCCACCCGTGGTCTTTTAATATAACTGTCATTTAACTGTACAGCCAGCTGAATACATCTTCTTTGTTGAGCCACCGTCCCTCAACACCTGAGGGACGGTGGTTGAGCATATGATCATCAAAACAAAGTTGGGCCACAACTTTTCTCTTACCTCGTAGACATCTGGAATTCGATGCTTCCGTAGATATTTCCTTATCTCAGGGTTTACTCCTTTCAACGACGACATGTTTTCTTTCACAGTTATGTTCTTTCAAGAGTAGAATTATTAGTATCTGATACACTTCACAAATGCTCTAGTTTGTTGTTGCTGCCTTGCAGCTGACAGTTTGTGTCGTCCGCCATTTTGTCTCACCGAGCAACCGTAAGTCCCCGGATGTCAACAGTTCAGCACAGATTACAAATATCAAACAAAGGAGCAACGTCTGTATTAACGACAGGGGTTCTGACCGCGAAAGCCGGGTAGTATCCCCGGTAGTATCGTTTCGCGGTAACCCGCTTTTCGCCATTTATACGCTCACTTAATATTTTATTTTATTGGAAAACACAAATAAATAAGCAAGAGCTGTATGCAAGTCTACACGCATGGTTTTGAATCTAAGCCTTTGTTTTGGTACTACGGCTCAGAACAGCCGTCTAACAATACTTTTTTAAGTTTTGAAACCATAAACATAAAGTGGATGATATTGAAAAAGAATAAAATACTTTTTACTTGAATGTGATGCCCATAAATCGGCGTTTAATGCAGCGTTGTGATTTCATTTTGACAAGCGGGTGCAACGTATGCCGCAAATACTAGTAATATTTGCTTGACACGTTCTCTGCTCGAATAGTTAAAACTATCGCACCAATTTTACATTGAAGGCAATAATGTAAGCTTCTTAACCAACAAATCTTAACAATTGTAAATTATATTCCACCGTGACAAGTTTACATGATTTGGTGCAAGATGTGCAATTCTGTTTACGCGACAAAAACTGTTAAAATATTCAGGTTGAATTTTATTTAACTACATTCCATAATAATAGTCTATAATAATAACAATAACTGGCAATCAACTGGTCATCGAAAAACAACATTTCACTCTTTTGATACTGACTACTAGAATACTCTCTTAAATAAGGTCAAAGACCCCCCACCCCCGCCACCACCACCATCACTGAAAAAACCCACCAAGTTTAATTTGTGGTTCATGAAATGTACTGACGGAATGTGTGCTTTAACATGGTGATGCTCTCCACGGCAACCGTTGAATAAGTTAACAACATTTATAATTTTCCAGATTTCGCATTGTGTAATCATATTCGGGTAATTTTGTATATTCGTCATTTTCATCAAGTAATAGATAATTTAACATTTGGAATTTAAAGAAGAAGAAACAGAGAAAAGCAAATAAAACGTTTGTATTTGGTTGAATTGACATTTGAGGACATAAAAATGAGATGGATGTCAAAGAAATTCTATCCAAACAAGCACAAATAAAATGGCATGTACTATTATATAAAACCCATTATGTCTTGCCTTTGTAACAGATATAAACATTGGAATAATGTATCTATAAATGGGTGAATCTGAAATCTGAAATATATAGTTTTGTTTATAGTAATATAGTACAAGCACTTGTTCATATTGAGAGATATTGCCATTTCATTATCTACCATATTCGGTGCAAGTTTACTCGCGGGAGTCTGATAATTAGTGTCGGAAGGTGTTCTTCTGTCTCTAGAAGTCTTTGAAACTCGTGGAATACTCGAGAAGATAAGTTTGCAAATAAAACGGCAAACAAATAATTACACTATATTGACAAACACTTCAACTGCCTGGTGTAGTATTTGTGTTGTTTGCTACCTGCAAACAGAACCGCCTACTTTGCATAATCCTAGCTGTAATGAATGAATGACGTCATCGTTCGTTATCAGCACAGACGTCTCAAAACTCCATAGCGTGAAAGAAAACGGTAAAAAATACAGTTTTTTTACCGATATAAATGACAATTCATGATTTTTCTTGAAAACAACCTTCAAGGTAATTTATTTACTATCAGCTCATATAAATTTTGCTGCTAAAACGGGAGTTAACCTTGAATGACGTTTAAAATCATAAAAGTGCCGATTTCTCGGTGTTCGGTTTCTGACAAATACTGTTACCCAATTTTAAATGACGTTTCAGTGGGTAGCGCTACGATGTCGCCGTTTGGCTTTTCTGGCTCTCCTATATCTTGGCTTCATATCCGTATTTACATTGCGTTATTTTACAAACCTCACGCAAACCACCGGTATACACCAAATTTAACACCAAAAAACGTGCCAGAAATTTGTAATTTTCAGAAAAACAAAAAATAGAAATACGGATTTAAACTTCATGACCTTTGTTTCAAAACAGCGTAAAGTTTTTGGCCACATAAATAACCGCTGAGCTGACATTTAAAAATGTATTCACTTTAGTTAATTATCAGCCCCGCCGATTTTCAGAATCACATCACGCTAAAACACAATATTCGCAAAATATTAATACATGTACTAGAAAAGTACAAGTCAGGGGCTTTCCAAACATACACAGATTGTATGGTTTCTTGTGAATTTTAATCAGATTATAGATGTTTACATTTGTCATGCCAATAAACTATCCTGCTACCTTAATTAAAACAAGATGACCCACTCTCCCTTGCAGAGTCTTCTTGACTTAGGGAGCCACGGCCACAGAGAGCTGCAACTAGACTCTGCCACAGGCGACATTTTACACCAAAATTGTTGGTATTCCGCGTTTTTTTTTTAATTCATTTGTTTCTGATATCCTAAGCTTCTGTTGAAAAAAATGTGTGTTATTTAAAATAAATATGTCAAATATTTTTACATTCAGTGATAAAATCTTTTCAAAATGTTAATATAATGAAAAAGTAGATCATGCGGTAGGAGACGTAGATGTGAATCGTCAGTTCAAATCGTGAGGCACATGCAAAGAATGAACGGAATCGGTCCAAGGGATTCTGAGATATGACTCCGGACGGACGCAGTACGCACGGGACGCACGGACGGAGACCGAATTATAAGTCCCCGTTTTCGGACTTTGTCCGAACGGGGACTAATAAAAACCACAACTGTGTATGCACATATAGACATACACAGGCATCATCTTGTTTTAAGCTTTTTTTCCATTACATCTTAAGGAATGTCTCAAATGGTGACAACCACATCACATTACGAGCATAAAATCGGCTGATAAAATATAGGTCATGTAACGTATACAAATGGAAGTTCAGGATAACACAGCAAGGGGGGGTGTTGGTTGTCCGCTTAGGGTGTGTCTTCCCTCCAAAAGATGAAACCCTTTGTGATTGTGAGCAAGATTTGTCCCTCAAAATGCAGGAAATAGCATTTCAGAGGGTCTAAATTTTTAAGGGGGAGCATGCCCCCGGAACCAATAGTAAGGTTGCACATGGTTGGTGAGCAAATCTCACCCCCCCCGCCCATGCAAAAATTCACACCGTCGCTGCCACTGTAGACCTAGAAAACAGGGTTGTACCGATACTAACCTGTGGTTCATAATCTCCAGTAGAATAAAACTCATTACCGAGGGTAATGCATATAACTGATGATTTTGGAAATAGAATCAGTTTATTGCTATTTTTTTTTATGTTTGGTAAGTTATGCTGTGTCAACATTATATTTGTCACAGTATAACAGATGGACTAGGCTATATCTGTTCTAAATAAGATGAACAATTTAATTGTTATAATATACAAAATTTAAAAAGGTTACAAAGAAACAAAAACCGGCTTATTTTGTTAGCATTTACTGTTTTCATATTAGAAAAACAGGAATGTATCAGTATGAGTCCTATCTAAGACAAAAGATAATCCAACTTTCTGTGTGCGATGTAGTTTATAATCTTGTTACCCCTTACTACTGTTTTCATATTAGAATAAAAACTGTTAGAATGAACTGGGCTGCTCAGTTTTAAACATAGTTGAACTATGGTGACATTGCCTTTTGTTATATAATATAATTCCCTTTATCATAGTTTGTTTCAATATAAATATGCATTGTCATAATTAATTTTGAATACAAACAAATTTTGGGGTTGAACCAACAGTGGGGAATCAGTCTACCGAATGTCCTTAAAAGATGTAAATATCTTACAAAAACATTGGTGCCTTATTTGTTTAATTATTTTAAGGGACATAATTTCCAGCTTTATTCAAAGTAATTCAGATATTTTAGTATAAAAACAAATGCCTCATCGCAAAAAAAAAAAAGTGCTGCATTTAGATGTGAATAGATTCATAAAACATGCAAAACAGAAAATCTTAGCTGGCTTTTGTCCAAGTATTTTGTACAGGTGTCTGTCAAAAATTAATAATTCACTGAGACAAATATGAGCTGCCTTATTGTGTGACTACTGTATTATATGAAAAGTAAAAAAAAAACACCCTTATGAATAGCTATCATGTTGCAAGCTCTGCTTTGTATGCAAATCAACTAAAACAGTACTGTTGCCTCCTGAGAATCTACATCTTCAAACACTGCAATCTTTGAAGTGCGTTTTTAAACCAGTATTATAAAAACTCTATCATTCTATTCTAATAGCTGAAACATATTCCTGTGAGTTTTCATTTGTCGAATGAACTGTTTGTCAAATACAGAATACATATATTTTAGAACAATTTTCTTTTTAAAATGTGGATGAAATATTTTGCCTTTTATGTATTGTTTTTGATTTGATAACTTTGAACTAAACAGATTTTCTATTAGCTTCAGATCTTGATCAAAGTTTGGCACCCAGTTCATAGGAGTGCTTATATTAATTTTCTGACATCTTGTTTTCTGTAAAGATTTTATTGGTAGGTTTGCAAATGTGTATCAGACTGTGCAATCTCTCCATGAGTTGGTTTTGAAACCCAGTATGGGATTCTGAGATACATTACCAAGGATATTATCACAAGATAAATCATTTGCTTCATTGAACACATACAACAATGCATATTTCCATTGAGATCAGTGACTTTTGATGTGTATCACCAGTGATCAGTCTAGTAGAAACAGTCAAAATATTTTATCAGATTTTCTCAATTTTTGCATGATAATTTCATACAGGACATCTGTTGTTCAAACTCAGGGAAGACTTTATACTGATGATTAAGGTGATCAAGTTTGATGAAGTTTGGAATAGAATTAATAAAGTTATTATGCACACAATAACAATTATTAACAACAACGACGAAGACAACGACAACAATAACAACGACAACGCTGGACAAAATTTTTCCCTTTATACCTTTCTCTTCTATCTTTGATGGTACGAGCAAGGTAATAAAATGCAATTATTTTGATTATATTCTAACCAAAAAGTTGGCTCATAACCATATTTAGCTGATGTAACATATTAGTTTGACATAACTTTGTTATCCATCTCTCTAAAGTGTGAATTGGGTGGGGGATTACAACTAAGGTTACATAAAGAAATTCACCATGCATGTTCTTTATTTCTACCGAGGAGGGGGGGGGGGGTTATATATTTTAAGGTTTATAATGGAATCTTCTCTGACATTGACAATGAAATAAAAACACTCAACTGAATACATCATGGTTTGAAAGTGACATTTAATAAATCACTGCAATTCAGATACAAAGGTACAGGCCCATTACCATTTAAGACCTTACAAATTCAGAGAATCACTCTGACCCTTACACCCGCCATTATGCATCTATCATTAAATCACGTGAGAAAAAAAAATCCTTCAGAAGAAAAAAAACACAATATAGTATAATAGTTTTACTACAAACTAGAAATGTATTCATAAAATTTCTTAAGAACCCCGAAATCTGATCAAATATAGACATAAAAAAAAACTTCAATTTTTGATCTGGCTTCACAAATCAAATTGTGTAAGTGGTAGGCTTCACTGGTAGTACAACTCAAAGATGATCCTTACTCAACATGTAATCAATTTAATTTGAACCTTGAAACATTATTTTTTCCAGTTTTGTACTTTATGGCAATAGTTGAAATTTCCCCTTAAAAAGTTATGTGAATCTAGAGGCAGTTACACTTCAAGCAGAGGACAGGGATCTACATTATACCTGTCACACATTTCAATTTCTGAATTTACAACAATGCGATTTGAAAATCTTATTTCCAGTCCATTTGCAACAATTACACACAATAAGTGGGCTTAATTGCCAATATGAAATCACAAACAACATAGCTGTGTCGAACTCTGTACACATTCACATTAAAAAGCAAAATCCTAACTTAATAGAAGCTGCAATAATACATACAAAAAGAACTAAAGGGGAAAAAATTGAATAAGTTAAAAAAAAATTGATACAACGTCTTCTCTCTTTAAAGTGGATACATAATATAGGTATAATACAAAGGCATAAATATAACGCTGACAAAACAATGTTACCATTAGGAAAATAATGTAATTTTTGCTAATTCTCAACAAACTTGTATATTTGACATTTTCACCAAATTCCAGCCTTTTTAATGCATTATTAGTTCGGTATAATTAAAGTAAACTGAAAACACACTGAATACTAGATATAAGCCAGGTATTTCTATACAGCATACTCATAAATTTGTCTTCCAGTGTTTCTTACATAATGATCATTTGAGTGGTGTAAACTAAAAATGACAAATATTTTTTCTCTAATGATTTAATGTAATGATTATTTAGTTTAATATTTCAAGTTTAAAAACAAGACATCAGCTGCATGATCTTTGTTTAATTCAAAGTTGATACCATACTCCAAAACCTGCCCTGGAGTTTGCTGTTGGAATGTCTACAAAGACTACTAACACATTGCCGTCTGACGCCATTTTATACATAAATAAGTCCACATATAAGTGAAAGGTGGCAAGAATTTTTATTGGATTAGATTCATTTATGTTTATTTATGGGAGGACACAAAGTTGTTTGAAATATTTCAAAGTAGATGATTTGAGTGACCAAATGATGTCGACTACTACCCCGGTAGATCGCCTCATTAATCGTTGGCATAGAGCTGTATTATGACCAGCTGAAGAAAGCCATCTGTCAACAAAGTACTAAATAGCAAACAAAAACATCATTTGAAAGTAGTTGATCGGAAACAAGGCTTGCATGGCACGGTCCCTGTTAGTTACCAAATTTAAGATATATAGTTTTGTTTATAGTAATATAGTTTGAACATGAACATATCAGAGCTGATGCTTAATTATGATGATTTTTAAACATCAAAATGATTGCCATTCAGTCATCTTGTATCTGATCATCAAACGAGTACTTGTTCATATTGAGAGATATTGCTCTGAAACAGCAATAATTAAAACAAAATGGCCACCATTTAGCCATTTTGAATTGGATCGTTTGAATGTAATCGGTCTAGTCTAAGATATAGGTCGAGATGCACACACATATGCACCAGAGGTCTATACAAAAGTCCCCATTTCCAGACGGTGTCTAAATCTAGCAGGAGCATGTCACCAATGTTGCAAGTGTAGATTGAGGGGAAGCTGCATGCAGACTAGAAAATACTGGAAACCTGAAAGTGCGTCACTTGCCACATGCCCATCTGTAATCCCAATAACAAGGCAGTTTGTTGGAAGTAACATAACGCGACAACATGAACAGTACCATACTCTATACGTATTTTGCAGTTGCATATACAATAAACAGGGCCAAGAGCAATGTTGCGAGAGTAACAGAGTAAGATGTAGCAGTGTCCTCATGTGACTGGCTATAGTTCGTTGAGTTCATGCAACAGCAATACACTATATTATGCAAACTCGTGCATACTAGTATTGATAAGGTGATGGTTTAATTGAGAACAAACTCTCCTCATTTTGATTCCATGTGCATAACCCATTCTCAATACTCACACAAAAACAGTGGAAGGTTTTCGACGGCAATGTGTTAGTGTCAAGAGGCACAGAGGTCAGAAAATGATTTTATGATCATAAAAATGGAGATAACAGGCAAAATAAAAGATATATCATGATTTCAAACTACAGCGATAAAACAAACTTTTTTTTTAATTTGTATTCATTCCTCAGGTAGAGAGAGGTGATGCGGGCGAGTTGGGAGTGAACCTGATCCTGAACAAAACAAAATAAAAACATATTTCTGAAACTTTAAAAAACACTTTGCTTTGTTACACATGCAGCTTGTAAACAGCAGGAGGTGACAAACTTAGACAAATTCTTTTACCACTTGAAAACTTCAAAAAATAGTATTACTCAGCGAGGCCAGAGTGAGACTGAAAATGAAGACATACATTATTGTTGATAATAAGCAGTACAATTTTGTCTTCAACAAAGGAAACTAGTAATTGCAGGTAGTGTGTATATATAAAGAAGAAATTTACACAGAATGAGAAACAATAGCAAATGGTAGAGAACTAAGAATGCAGAAACAGATGATGTAACGTTTTAAATGACAGTACAAGGATGCCATGAATTTAAGTGAAAGAAAAGGTCTCAACAGTTCTCGCTAAATTAACAATTTTTTTTTTAACCCTACTCTTTTCTCCTCGATGGTAACTTTTGGAAAGTTCGCACAAAAATGCTAACTTGACAATACCCATTCTGTTAAGTACAGAATGTTTTTATTTGTCTGGGCCTCAGAACTTATCAGTACATCAGACAAAAACATATCAAATATGTAACAATCTTCTTTCATATGGATATAGTGAATCATGATACAATGTAAACCTGTATTCTGAATACATTTTGGAAAAAAAGGGTGACTAACAATATATAATAAATTCTTGGCAACTATTTTAAATTAAAACTACTAAAATGTGGGAATAAGGCAAAAATTGAAATAAAAATTTAAATTTTAAGACAACTGTCAAAAATCAAAATAAAGGAAATATCCAGAACTTTATTTGTGCGTCGACAAAACAAAGCACTTATTTGTTCTACCAATAGTCATAAACATATGGAACAAACAGAATTTCAAATAGATGATGAATTCATATACATTTAATGACATGAAATTTAACAATGGTAATTTTAAAAAATATCTTCTTTTCACATGAGCATGAAGATATGGTGAGGTGACAAGAAGATAGAGCTATTAATACTAGTTCTTTACAAATATCCAACCTCTGTTTAAATTGTTAAAAATTATTTTGTACAGTTCATACTCATTCATACAAATTGGCAAGCTCACTTCTGAATTCAACCTTGTCGATAATCATCATTTTACATTTTCAAAGTTCTTGAAATTTAACAAACGAAATATACAGATGGTTGTGTGAATTCAGGAGAGAGACACACAGCTCTTCAAGTACCCCTTATGTTTCTCTTACTGTGGTTGCACTGCAATCTGTGTGTTATAATCTGCCGTTTCCATTCGCAAAATATACGGTATGATGCTGTCAATCTGAACGTTACCAATTAACCCAGCAAAGAATAACTCTTCCATTATGCTTGGAGTCAGTAATCGCAAAGCTGGCAGTCGTAACAATAACTTGGCGAATCTGTCAGGACTAGCAGGGTACGCCCTGGTGACGTATTCTTGTAACTCTTGAACTGCTTTCTCCTGGAACTTTTCTAACTGTCTCGGATTCACCAGTCCTGGATGATCTAAAATAGATAAGTGCACATTTCACTGATATTGCTCACTCAAATAAATTTAACTCAGGGTAAAATGATATTTTTTGAACGGTTTTTAGACAATAGAAAACATAAAGACTTGATTAATTGTTTTGTTTCTTTTGAAAGATGTCAGCTGTTTTTTTCACAATTACTCAGAAACATTTCCATCAGTTTACACATCAAAACTGAGTGACTTCAGAATAGTGAAGTTCAAATCCTGATAAGCGCTCTAGCAAATCAAGGTTTATAACAGGATAAATGACTTGTTGTAAAATGCTGTAAATTTGGAGGGGCCTTATTATACTTAAGCAGAGGTTTATACTCTCACAACTACGGTAGATGGAAAGTTAACATATTTTTTTAGAAAAGAATTTATCAGCCATTACCATAGTAAAAGGAAGTAAAGCTTGTTATGAAAGGTTACTCTCAGATAATGTCATTCACAATTATATAATGGTTGGGAAAGTATGTATTATCATATTATATTCAAGAGTAAAGCAAGAATGATGTCTGACCTTCATCCTTCTACATAAAATGTGAAGTCTGAATTTCACTATGATCTGTGGTGCTGTGACTTCAGGTATGAGGTAATATGGTGTAAGCAGTCAAAAGAACTTAGCCATTAGACATGGTATGGTTATGTACTCACCTGTGCTAAATAAGGTGATAGCCTTAAGATAAGCAAATTCACTGGAATCAACTTGTAGCTTGCTAATGGAGTTTACTAATTCTTGTAATTTCCAGATATGCTCCATGACTACTTTGACACGATCAGCTGATAATTTATCTGTAAAAGACAGAGCTAGAATAATGAGCGATTCATCCAAACAAATTACATTCTTTGTGGTGGTTTAACATTCTACAATTTAAGCTTTTAATTCTTAATAATAATTTTCACACCAAAATGACACCAGCTCAAATCAAATCAATATGAATATACCAAACTACACATAGTAATAAGAACCACACCACAAGGCTTGTAATTAACAGTTATCCAAGGTGCAGAAAATATGAACTTTTGTACTAAGGTTACTGGTTGTTCCACTTAGTAGCCAAATTGTAATACTGTAGAAATTTAGGGGAAAAAATACAAATTGATTTTACATAAACCCATATGTCTTACACAAATTGAGGAATAAAATATTTATTCATGTTCACACTTTGTTGCATGGCTCTAAGCATCTACACCAAAACTGATTAACAACCAAATATTACTAAGTGACTACAAACTCTTAAAATTGGTAACTCAGCTGGTTTCCAATTAATTTTTTTTAATTTCGAGCCCTGCACCAACAAGATTAAGATTGGAATAAATGTATAAAATATCACACCAACAGGATCCAGACTGCAATCAACTAATAACAATGATTGTTATAATTGCTATGCATTCCTGTTTGTCTATAATGAATTGTGTATAAAAGCGAGATCAACATACAATGAATCAAAAGAACTGTTATCACTGCTAAGCCACCATCGCCGCACCTTTACATACTTAGGAGCCAGTATCTATAGCCAGGAAGCCAAAACAGACATGCAACGATAACAGTCCCTTTTTAATCCTGCTTAACACATTGCCATCCACATGTCTAAACCTCGTTTGTATATTTTGGTGCGTGAATGGCAATGTGACAATAATTTTTAATTAGCAAAGCGCCCAAATAATTATTGTTCACTGACTTGAATGCAAAACGGATCCTGTTGCTGGACTAGTTGTAACTGTACCTTGTTGTACACTGGTCTGTAGATGATTCACAATGGCAGTAAGGATGGCAGATAAAGCCATGGCTTGACTACATTCAGCTAAACCCAAAGTGAATAATTCACTCCAACATTTTTGAACAATTGTAGTGTGGCTTTCTTGCCTGTAAATAAACAAGTGTGTGCATTACAAATAATACTTGACACAGCATGGTACAATTATAAAATCAACCAATATATAAGCTCTGTATAAATAAGAGAATCTCATATAGAAGTACAGTTATTTTTGGCCATCATACAAGGCAAATTATTTTAAACATAATACTAGGGTGGAGACATGCAAAAACAATTTAGGAAAATTAGAATAGATTAAAAATTATCATTTGTTATCCTACGTTAATCAAATAAAATATACAATAAAACAAAAAAAGTAACTTCCTATTTAGTTTGATTTTTTCAATAATTTTTAAGATCATCACTTGGATCTTAAATTTGTTTTCCACATTAGAGTCACTTACCCAAGAGCCTGAAATGCTGGGATACTCCTAGCCCAATGCATGGACAGAAACAGAAGTCTTGACGCTGATTCACATATGTAATGGACATTGAGATACTGTGGCATTGGTGACGGTGTAGTCAACTTAAACTGAAAATGTGTTTCTGATAATAAAGGCCCTTCTAACTCAACTAAAGGAAGAGATTGATCTGATCCATCTCCTTGTCCAGACCCATTAGCTGAATCTGATGTACTATAAATACAAAAAAAAAGATTATTAGTAATTCCCTATCATTTGTAACTCAATATCAACTTACTTATTCACTATTTTCATGTATACATTTTTTTCACAACAGCCATTTTCACTACCATTTTCAAGTGGTTGATGTGGTATCGAGATATTATACACTACTCACGTCACTTCAACTGTATTTGCAGTTTCTGTAGCATCTCCTTGTGGATTTAGTGCTTTCGCAAGGGTATCAAACGCTTTGGAAATCTGATTAACTGCTTCAGCTGACGCCTGGATTTCAGTGGTACCAGTCTCGCCATTGGCAACTTGACTACTATCACCAGCACCGTCTTGGGAAGTGCCTTCTTTATTTTTGCTCATATTTGCCAACGTTGTCACTACATTAGCCAAGGTACTGAGATCTGTATTTGCAGTAGAGGCTTCAACAGATGGGCTGCCACCCTGTATATTTATTAGCATACCTTGATCAAACAGACCAATGTGTTGTTTTTCTTTTTCTACTGTGTGAAAACAACATCAAGAATGTACGAGTTAGAAATGAACAAGAAATTTGGTTTAAAAAGCTGTCTAAAGGCATGTCTGAGTTTATGGCATTGTAACTGTTGTAAGAGACATATATGTTAACTGAAATTTATATGTCATGTTATGTCATGATAATTATGATACATTTGCTCGATTTTATTTTCACTGAAATATCCTCTCAGCCAAAATAAATATTTTGCAGTATTTAAAATGAGAATGAAAATTCGCTGCAAGGCTGTCAATGAAGACGCATGAAAAGATTATTTATGAAAATGAATTGATATTACCAGCAAAATGTGATAGCCCATATAGACTAGTTGATTGGTAAGTGTGAGGGTTAGGAAACCAAGTTAACTGTGTATTATGTTTTATTGCTTACCTCCGACAAAAGTTGGTGTAGCTGCTAACGGGCTCCTTAAGTCTTTACGAATATATATCTTATCTGTTGATGCTGCACAGTTTCCAGATGTCCTGTCTCGGTTTGACTTGATTGGAGTTCGCTCACACTGTACAGCTATAGAAGTATTTGAAATACGGGATGTCCCCGAAAGTTTGGAGCCTGGTGAATGGGGTTAAAGTGTAATGTGCATTTCCCAAGTGATCAGAGTGTGTACCTCACACATAGACAGTTGAAGCCAATTATGATGGCAAAAACTGGTAGTGTGTGAGATTGGCTCATACAAATAAAATAACAATCAGACAGGTGATATAATATTGCGGGAAATGTACTGAACACAAACAGGCCAACAGGCATTGCTTAACAATGTAATTTCATTAATAAATATTTGAAATAAACGGTTTGATAGTAGTTTTCATAGAGGATAGAATATAAAGCAGCATGATTTTTCATTTTATAGGTAACTCTATACTGCACTGCATTTTCAACAGTTTTAGCATGGTTGAGTGTTTTGCATGTATGATGCTGGCTGTGTATTTATATTACTTGATTCTTTATATATAAGAATTTAGACTCTTGCAGAAAACAAGATCTTATTTCAAAACTCTACTAATTCATGTGCTGCATTTGTTTGGCTGCTCTAGCTTTGGTAGGACAGATTAAATATTTTATGTTGATGATGTATTCCAAAATATGCAAGTAGTCACAGGTGAATATTTCTTTACCAATTATTCCAGTACTGCATTATATGAAAATCCAAAGATATAAGGTTAAAAAAAACTTACTATACAATTCAGACCAAGCATGAATTTGTTGTGCATGTTTTTCTACGCATTATTTACTAACCACATGCAAAACGAATCATGATGATTCCATGTTAAACCAATACAGATTTTCTTTAAATAAAAGAAATTTAAGTTGAACACACACAAATCGTTCAATATTTTTGATATTCCAATATATATCAAGTAGCAGTTGAATTAATAGAGTTTTAATATACTATATGTGTATGCAAACATGTGAACAAAGCATGCTTAATATTAAAACTTATTTCTAGTAAAAAACAGTTAAAATAGCCAATAATCACCTAGAATAGCTGGTGACTTACATTCAGCTTTCATCCCCATCGCCAAACATTTCTGTAGCCGACAAAACTGACAACGATTTCTGTGGTGTTTGGTAACTTGGCAATCTTTAGAGCCACGGCATGTGTAGCAAAGTTGCTTACGAATGCTTCGTTTGAAGAAGCCTTTACAACCTTCACAACTAACTACACCGTAATGTCGGCCTAAAAAAGAAAAAGAATATGGTCTACTTTATTGTTTGGGAACAGGTGAAAAAATCTGGATAGGAAAAACTAAATGAAATACACCATATTTTGCTTAAAAGATTTTGTGAAAATACAAGGAACAATTGATTATAAGTTTGTTACTTTCTATGATGTAATACCAAAAAAAAGTGAAAATGTTCCACTTTTGCACATGTTCATATTCAAGATACTGTAATTGTGATCACAATACCATGCAGCAACTCGATAACTTACCTGATGCTTTGTCGCCACATACAACACATGGGTCCATAGGTTTGGATACAACTTTGTCTGGTGACATTTGAATAGGATGGACTTGTTGAATTTGTGCAATTTGCGGGACTTGAAGGGTAACATGTTGCATCTGACCAGCATGACCACCTTGAAGTACTTGAACATGTGGGACTTGGATTATCTGAGAAAAAATGATACAAAAATGATACAAAGAAGTGAAACAATGCACAGAACAATTTAATGCCACTGCATATCTGTGCGCCATAGCTGCTTGTTGCCATGACACAAATACATGTAGCAAGAAAGTCATACACATTGATTATATTAATAACAATTAGAAAGATAAAAACCCTGCAACTAAAGGGAAAGTAATTACTGGTTTTATTGAAGTCCTACCGTATTTATCCGGGTATAAGCCCAGGGTCTTGAACATGGAAAATTGCCAAAAAGAAGGGGTGGGCGTTTGCCAGGAGATCCCCGGCAAAAAAAACGAAAATTCGCGAAAATTGACAACAGGCAGATCGAACTACGGCAGGGAATAGAACGGCAAATGAAAACATGCAACGGAAATAAATGAACAATATGCAACGCTAGAAGTAAAACAAAAATAATGTATTGCTTATAACAATACACAGTAAAAATTATAAAAATTCATAGCTGTTTGAAAAAACTTCTCAGATCTTTATTTGTACGTTCTTTGCCATCTTCGTCAAACTCAAAACCCTCAAATGTTCAAGTCAGTGCCACTGTAGCCGTCGAACAAAATCCTTACAACTTATTCCTGAAGATTGTCGATATCGTCCCACACAATTTGGACTCAGCACTTTTAATCCACGGATTTCGCAGTCTGTCAGCTTGGCACTTTTCATTCATGTCTAATCATAATAAAGAGACAAAAAAAATGGGGTCGCTCTGCTGCCATGGCACACGATGATTTTGTTTACAGTCTAGCAATCATCTTTGACCTTTATGCATCTGCTTTACTGATTGGCTAAGAATGACATCACTACTTGTTATTTCATCATAAAGGTCAAATCGTGACATTGCTTTCTTATCAGACTCAACGCTTATTAATCACGGTGAAAGTTATCATTCAGCAAGTTCCAGCGGTTGGAATGTCTCACTATATGGATATGAAATAGGAAGTTGTTTTTTTTATCCAACGATAGAAGAATAGTTTTCATGACAGAAATGCAATAGCGGTGATAAAAGATGGTAAAAAAGTTGGCAGTTTTCGGCGTGACATTGCAAAATTGCTGGCCCAGTTATGGATTCGCAAGCTGCTACAAAATATTTATAAAACCAAAATAACGTGATTTCAACCTTTCTCCCAGGTACGGGTTGCTACAATATTGCAACATTGTGCGACACTTATACCATTTGCTTGAATCGTTTCTAAGGAAGCACAACCCAAACGGCTGGCCCTTTTTAGGGCCACAACATATTTCAAAAAGAGAACTACCGTTTCTGCTTTAATATTTATTTTTATAGACTTGCTGACTGCTATGATTCTGAAAAAAATCAGCGGTGAACGCGCTGCCCTGAAGGCAGAAAGCTGTCACAGCTATTTTGCGTTTACGCTTTGTTTTACGCAATTAACAATTTTTATAAGTATCACGACAGACTTCAAGAAAGTCAACTGTTAATACAACCACTGTCAACGAATAGAAAAAAGTTTTTTTGTTTTTTGTTTTGTGTAGAAAAAGACCCCCTGGGCGTGTGCGCGGATATGACCTCAACTTCTTTATTGTGTCAAAAGTGGAGGGTGGGCGTTTGTCCAGGCATGGGCTCTTACCCGGATAAGTACGGTATATATTCAAAGAAAATTATGATAGTAGTTGATATTATTTGTAGCGTCGCATTTTTTTTCAAACTTTTTTTTCGTTGTAGTGCTCTCTGAAGGTTGTCCGGGGCTTTCAGTTCATACAGTCCGATGACCAGAGATTGTGGTAAAAATGGTTCATTTTAGCAATCTCATGTGTGAATTTTCAGAATTATTATAAAGTTGTGCCCCTAACCTCTCATGCAATTTGGAGCAACATTTCAACAATACCTTTGTAATAACTTCTTCATGTCGTAACCTTGCAAGCCCTTCTGCAGTCTGCATTTCTTTGGACAATTCTGAAGTGGTAGTTTCCACATTAGACCCTACTGTGGTAACGGTCACTGTAGATGGATGTAGTTGATGGTGCTGATGCACAACTTGAGATGTATCCATTGCTTGCTGCTGCTGCTGATGCTGTTGTTGCTGCTGCTGTTGTTGTTGTTGCTGCTGTTGTTGTACAACATGTGTTTCTATAGTCTGTACTTGTGTTCCTTCCATTGTTTAAATTTAACTGCAAAACCAAAAACCAAACATGTAATACAATATATATCTGGATATGCACTCGATATATGGTGTATCCATAACATGTTTCTTCTTAGGTCAAATAAAACAAATTTGGTGATTCGCGTAACATGCTTTTATTATTTCACTTTAAGCTATAATACATAAACATGATGCAACCAATGATTAGTTAGTTTTCATGAAAGACTTCTTCATACTAGTCATTTACTACGACGAAGTAAATGAAATAAATTTGAACATTGGTGGCATAAATAAATTTGTTATTATTTTTATACAATAAACTATTAACTATTTCCACAAAATACTCGTACAAAGGATTTATTCTTGATTTATTTGGCCTTACTTCCTATCATATAATTATAATGGTTAAAATCTAATGACCTTATAATTGGCAGCAAGTCCCAGTATAAAAGTAGTATAGGAAATAAAATATACAAACTATGAATTATTATGACAGACCCCCTCCCCCTAGAGTCCAAAAAGTAGAACTGAACTGAAGACATCATTAGAAAATGAACAATATGTATAGTATCAAAGCAATCGGACATACAGTTTTTAACAAGAAGTCGAAAATATCACTTTCTATCAAAAATGACCAAAATATTCACCAAAATTAGAGAATTGAAGATATCATCACAAAATGAACAAATCTGAGAAAGGTCTACATGTAGTATCTATATGTGTAATATCAAAGCAATTGAACTTTTGGTTTTTAACAAGAAGTCGAAAATATCACTTTTTACCAAAGATTACAAAAATATTCACCAAAATTAGAGAATTGAAGATATCATCACGAAATGAACAAATCTGAGAGAGGTCCACATGTAGTACCTATATATGTAATATCAAAGCAATTGCACTTGCATTTTTTAACAAGAAGTCGAAAATATCACTTTTTACCAAAAATGACAAAAATATTCACCAAAATTGGAGAATTGAAGATATCAACATGAAATGAACAAACCTAAGAGAGGTCCACCTAAGGTACATATACACCAAGTATCAAAGCATTCAGGCTTGTAGTTTTCAAGAAGAAGTCGAAAAAGTAAAACATTGACACGGACGACGGACAATTACTCATATGATAAGCTCCGCTCGACAAAGTCGACAGCGGAGCTAAAAATAACACTCCAATGTCTTAGTATGTTGTTAATTTTGTTTCATTTGTACTAATTGTACACTATTTATACATGTATGAGCGTAAACTTGTATTCTAAAGTCTATGAGTTCTGTACAGGAACTGACATGTAAAACTACAAAATATGGAGTATCTGAGCACTCCTTTCATCAAATGGCCACACCTAAACTATTGACAATACATTGTTGTATACTAGACAAATAACATTTCATATACAAACTCGCACCTTTGTGCAAAAACCTTCACAAAGTTCATTTGTTCAGCAGTTAAAAACTTTTCTGAAAGAATACAATATATCCATTAAATTGAGTGCTGAAAAATATTGGCTAAATTTATGTAGGAAAAATTTCGGTCAAAAATAATAAAAGAATCATAATATTACTGTAACAGTAAAAACTCCCCTCTCTAAAAAATTCAACTCAGTAATTATTCAATAGAATTTATTGGCTACTCAAATTAATTAATATTCATGCTTCTTAATTAATACATGCACTGTATTAATCTTGGTGTTCCTCATAGAATAATATAATACGAGTTGCATACAGATTCCCAAGTGGTACATCTGGCCAGAGTTAAGATGAGCGAAATACTCATCAATTTTTTGGCGGGAAAATGATTTATACCATGTAATGAAAATTAAAAAAAATCTTGAAGAGCATATTACTAACAGCTGTGGTTCTCATTATCGGCAGTCCTTATTCTGTCCACTTACTCTTTACGTCTAACAAACGTTTTATTTTAGCCAAACTTTACCCATATCTTAAAAATTATATATGCTAGTCATTTTATTATGGTTGACAAAGGTTCAAAAATGATTCAAAAAATTTCAGTTATTGTGAATATAAGGATAGTGGACAAAAATGTTTGGACTAGAGATGACAACGAGGGCAGACATTTTCCCCATCATATACTTATCCCTCCATCTAATGATGATGGACCAAGGTAAAAAAAATAACAAGACTATATTCACAACAATGTCACTATTGGAGTGACCAAAATTACGGTTGCGATGAATTTTTAACCCAGATAAATGCAACAAGTTTCTGTATTATTCAAGACATTTTTTTACAACCAAAATTATCATAGACTACTAAACCAGAGGAACAATATATGAGCAAAAGGTTTCTCTGTAACTCGAAAAAAGATTTAACTTTATGTGTAATATGAAATAAAATTGAACTGAAAATTAAAATTCAGATCTCCTGTTGTGTATAACTTCTACAAAAACCAGCAGTCGAGCATGCACACACACAGACACACTAAAACACCCTGGTACAAAAAAAATACAGGGAGTACCAATTTAAATATAAATTTTCATAAGACATTATATTTGCATGCAGGCAACCAATGACTACACACAGAAATGTGCAGCCTTTCTCTACCTTTAGTACCACTAAACTATAATGTCTTTTACTAGGGGGTTTACTGTAAAGGTCGTCAGTTCACTGTATAATGAATGCATATATTGTGTATGTGACGTATGCTGCCTGTAGACTCAATAGCTCTCATAGTGGGCAGCTGCTAGACAAAATTCACCAAAGTGAGTCAGACACATAGTAATATTGTACAGTATTGATAATTAGGTTACACTATACCTTTAAACAGAAATGAGAGCTATAATTTCATATCACTATTCTTAACTGACTTGACAGCTTTTCAACAGAATCACAATTTGGTAAATTTATTCAAATTTGTTTTTAGTACAAATAAATATACACATTGACAACCATTTTAAAATTTTGTTTGTCCAAAAAATAAAAAAATTATTGTCAGTGGTATTCAACATGTGTAATAATTCCCAGCACAAGTCCCAATAATGGGGACTTCAGAGAGGCCTGATAGCAAAAATTAGGTCAGGGTTCAATAGGTAGGTAATACAACACTGTCTACCTTTATCAGTTGAGTAACCATAAAATATATGAAAAATTATACACCATTAATAACATAAATCATTGACAAGTAAGAATGTAATTCTAAAATTATATTTAATTCAGATATACTTTAACAAAGCTTTGGTCACAATATTGAATATTGTATGCAATATAATTTACCTCTAAAAATATATGGCTGCTATTGACACATTCTACCTTCTCTATCAATTTTAATTTTGTAATGGGCTGGGGAAATTATAATAACGGTTATTGTACTGTGCAAGGATATTCTGAAAAAACATACGACATACATGATTGAATGAAATGTACGATTTTAATGACACAGGCAAGTAAAAAGTAATTTTAGTGTTGTTAGATACATAGCTGCACTGTGCTACGAGAAAACAAAACTAACATTCAACATATAGTTCCTTCAAGAATTTGTTATTTACAGTGATGTGAATCCTGAACCATGCATTCAGGAAATGCACCAGAATGGCAACGTCACATGACAAATAGGATAAGGTTATGAGTAGCAAACAGTTTCAGATTTGACAAGTTGCCAACTAGCTGATATCTACTGTAAAAGGATTAATTATTCACTGGGTTTAATTTTGCTTATTTCGCTGACTGAAAAATGCGCTTAATTAACACCCAGTGAATATGTAAAATTGAGCAAAGAACCAATTACCTAAATGATAAAACCATGAATTTAAAACCTGCTGATATGCCTGAAATGCCAAATCAGTGAAATTTAAACCCAGTCATTTTACAGTATTACTTTATTATATTTCTTCAAAATAGCACAATTTAAAACTACAATTACTCACTGAATTCACTTTGGCACCAAAATCACTCTTTTCCTACAACAATGAATCTACTAAACTTTGTCCATGCATGCTCAAAACTAATTTGCAAGAATTGCTTGTTCATTTTACTTAAGATCGTACTACGACTCAAGAATATAAACCACTTTAATCCAAAATGTACATTTGTATGTATTCATTTATTAAAATAGATCAATGTAATACATTATCATAAACTGATATGACCTCTTATTTCCTGTTTATATCTTTTCCAGATATTTCAGGTCAATAAAATATCTTTGACAAATTATTCAAATAATATTAACGTCCATGAATTGAATTGCGCATCGGCAGTGTGTACACATTTCATTTCATGCATGCCATCCTAATGCCTTGAAGCACTTCACGACATTGAAATAAACAATTTTCAGTACTTCTATGAGATTTCAAGTTGTGTGTGAAAGAGACAGACCGAACGCCTGATACAAAAATAAAATGAGTTTGAGCTTGAATTTCTCTAGTATAATGTCGAAATACTGATCTTTCAGATGGAAACATGGTGTTGGGATTGACCGTCATCTAATATGTATAACACTTCTAAAATGTGAAAACACCCCCCCCCCCAAAAAAAACCCTTTTGTTTCTCGTATCCTATGCGATGTTCTGACATTACTACACCTTATGTCTGTTCAACAGTTTTGACATTTGATTTCATGCATAATGCGAGATTCCGAGAATTTTTGAAAATGGTCTATTGTTCTATAAACCATAGAATTTATGACTCATGTAGCAGACAAAAGGTAACCTCTGATACACCCACTGATTAGATTGAACGCTAAATAATGTGTTGACTATAAACCAATCACTGTTTAATAACAATGCTTACATTCCATCGACCATTAGCAATTCACTCGTAAAAAAACTTGTATTATTCTGTAAGACAGATCTATGTCCGTGTTCCCCCAACAAATAATCATGACATACCATGTTAGCTTATCACCCCTTTCCCCACACAGAGTCACAACATACCAGCTTCTTGTATGTACAAAATACAATGGTCATAGGCCTAAACATAAAGTTTTGAAGTTTACTGCCAGAACAAAACATAATGTGAGGAGTTATCATCTAGATAACCATGGAATTTGTTCATACTATCTCATGGCTCCAAATTAAACAGTAGACTAAGGTACACAAACTACCAAATTTCAAGATTAAAATTCCATTTTTTAAATATATAAAACAGATTATTTACATTTAAAGTGTCCTACAAAAATGAGCAATATAACATTTAATATTTATTATTTAGGTTCTGATTTTTTGTATTTGCACTAAATTTGATGGACTATGTATCTATTATTACCATAGGATGAGCAGCTTTTAAAAATGATAGTTAATTTTGAGCCCAGCATATAGACCTGTTTTATTCGGGTAACACCAAATGTATTGATGTGAGAGTATACCTCCATGGAGTTTGCAACAAATCACAAACTGAATACTAGCATTCAAAATATACAATTCTACAGAACCAAGTTTATGAATCTTCAAACATCAACTTAGGGAAGTTTGTACTGGAATGCCATACGACCATGTATAGAGGAACTGCACCCCGAAACAAATGCAGGTCTTAAGCAAACAGCAACGAAGCTCTGCAATGTGGTGGTACTCTCTTACATCTTACTAAGCAGAGAACTTATTCCTCTACTGTTTATGCCAGAAGCACCCCAAATGAATCAGTATAACTCAATATACAATGGGCCATATTGCTTAAAGCAGCAATTAATAGCCACGAAGCAGCTATTGAACAGCTACGAATATATATATATATTTTAATATTTTCTTGTCAGGATACAATCCACTCAGAACATGCTTTAAGGGGCATTTTCAACAGTCCCCAGACACAAACGGCTGCCAACACCTCCTTGAGGGCAAGAGTCTAGTGTTCCATTCAACCAACAAAAATGGAATTACTATTTGAAGATGGAAAAAAAATAGGCTTTTTGGCTTTCGAACTTTGATTTTTGTGATTGCATAATTAATAAACAAGCTATGATGTTTGCAATGACCTTTCGTTTTATTGGCAATAATGTGTTAGGTCAATTTGAGAAAACTGAACCTCTGGATATTTAAAAATATTTAGCCAAAATATCAGGGTACTGGATTCACAGGAAACTTCACCGATCCTACAACAAACATTTTTTTAAAATTTTTTATGAAAAAAGTAGCATCATTGCAATGTTTAAAATAATTTAATTGATGTGAAAAATAGCATTCAAACTATGAAGTAAAGGTTGTTATTTTTTTTAAATATCTGGAAAAATACATAGTAATAATAAAAGAAAAAGTAACAAGAGCAAACACAATGGATATTAGAAATATTAGGAAAGCACAAGAAGCAAGCAAAGCAGACATAAATAGGGAATGTTCTTAGCATTACAACTGTTGCTTATCAGTATTGTTATATCACAGTGCTAACTTAAAAATACAACATACTCAATACATGCCATTTATCAAAGCATTGGTCATTTGTTCAAAGCTGTTATACAAATTGAGCATATATTGTTACCAATGCGGAACAGTACTGAGAAAAAAAAACATTGCTTTATTTCTTAACTCTTTTGTAATGTTAAAAATTCCATTTATTAAGTTTTTATCTGTATTATCAATGATATATGACAGCCATATAATAAATTCATTTACCATACCTTTAGAATACATGACAGGCAAAACACGCCTTTTTTAACTCATGTAAAACTTAAATTTGAAGTAAAATGTAATTTACATAAGAGGTACAACTAGTGAAAAATTTATTCTTCACAATATTTAAACTATTTAAATATTATATGTTTATTCAAAATGTGGCTTTTCAGCTGTTCAAATGTCCATGCAAATAAATATTCAAATTAGATGTCTACAAATGACCTAAAACCTTTTCAACAGTCATTGCCATGGTTACCCATTTAATCCAGCGCTGTCTGGAAATAAAAAAAATCCAATTCACCGTCGAACTGTTCGTTTAAAAAAATGGAGTCGTTCCTTGGATATCATGTATTGTAGAAGTAACGGAGAAATGCACACGTCAGTTTTTTTGTACAAATGGTGCCACGCAATAATGGCCGACGCCTGTATGTTTCGAGACAGTAGCCATATTGGAACATTTGAAACGTCAGCAAGACAAAACACGCCTAAATATAGATTTTCGAGAGACAGGCGAAACTGCGTAACAGAATGAACACAAATCGTCACTGAAGCAGTTCTAGATAAAAATACTTGACAACACGGAGTTCAAAGTCATCCCACGGGGTAGTAATTTCCACAAGTATGGGAATTAAAATACAAAGCGGAAAGCACGGGGCCATTTTGGCGCGAACGGGGTCATTCTTCAACAACAACCACACAAAGGTCATGGGTTAAAAAACGTCAATAACACAGCAAAAATATTGGGAATTTGCTGCACTTTCTGTGATAATCTAACTAAAGGAAGACTGGATTTCCGGGAAACGTAAAATTTAATGGTGGAAGCTGGTGATATTGCGTCAAAGTATTCATGTAAAAACTGCGAAAATTCAAAGCGTCTGGGTTGAAACCGTACATACACACTTCTGCGTAGGTAATGGAAACGAAACGACACTACCCCCGAAAGAAACGGGCCATTTCTCAGCGATCTTAGCGACTTTGCCTAAAATTCCACCACCAATATGATCTAGAATAACAAATGAATTTAACAGATACATAAATATGACAAAATAACTTACCTTTTTGTCAATTTTTCATCGAAAACGTGCCTGCAAAACGGAGACAAAGGTCATAGTTCGTGACCTGCCTGGATACATGCACCAATTCCTGTTTTCTGATTGGTTACTAGTGACGTCATGAGCCTAATTGACAGTCAAGCTCTCTGATTGGACAAGATCAGAGCGCCCATTTTGAGTTGTGCTGTTTATGCATAAACTGAAATGGAATACCCTCATTTCCAAATATCAACGATGAATCAATACATACATCACTACCTACGTTGTTATGTGTAGCTCAAATTGAAAGGAAAATGTCACTCCTCATAATATATGAACGGGGAGGGTGACGTAGAGGATCTTTATAAAAAAAAAATGTTGTAAGATGAAAGTAGAAACCGAATAATTCACCGTGACGGGTGTATTACGGGCAGTCTTGCTTTACGAGGTAAAAACGAGGGGGAGGGGTCATGGTATTTTTTAATACAATGGATTTTCCAGGACACAAACAAAATGTCTTCACCATTCATTCAGGTTGCCAACTTGATTTTTGACGAGAATAGAAAAAGATGATCCACACCAAAGACACCCATTTCGCATTCCTTTGATTTTTTGATACGAAAAGCTCAAGTTCCTATAACATAAAAAAATATATATATATATATTATTTTCGCTTGATCCGGTTATCTACTGTAAAATAAGTAATATGTTCATTGGGTTTTGAAGTGACTATAATGGGTAAATAGAGAAAGCAATTTCAAATTGGTCGTTTTATAAATTCGTATATTTATGGCACTTGATATGCAGACCTTTAATAACGCTGAACGTCAATTGTGCGTAGTTCAAATCTCTCAGAAATCTTTTCTTCCACAGCCAATAGCATTCCATTTCGTGTGGTTAGTGAAAAAAAATGCTAAATCTAAATATCTATGTGAGTACAAATAAGTCGTACTAGTAATTTATTCATAAACTTTAGCATTGAGAGAACAATAACTACAAACGTCATAGTATTCACAGCATTTTCAACACTTTCACGTTTTTGAAAAAAACAGCGCAAGAACAATGGTAGTTTTTTTTTTTTTTTTGTAGCGATTTGTTGTCCATCCATCGTCATTGATGCCACCGGGGTGTGTGAAATCGAATGTCAGCAAATTTTATTGTGAGACTCATTTTCAACACACTTCGGTCACTAATTTATGTATATTTTTGCAGATTTTGTGCCCTGCCTGTATCAATAAGTAAGTTATGTGACGATATTCTAAATTTACATAGTAGTAGTGTCCTTAAATGCCCAATTCAGTCGCCCGGGCGGTTGTTTATTGTGGCTATGCTAATGAGTGTTGTTTTAGTATGTTTACCTCATACATGTAGTTTATTTACAAGCTGATAACACTAATCCCCGAAAGCATTAATTTGTATAGCGGTCTTGTCAGGTTTTCATCTATAAAGCCTAGATTTGAACCTAGGTGGACCTACGCTACGCTAGGTTACTACCATAGCAACCTTGGCTACATACACACACACACACACACACACACACACACACACACACACACACACACACACACATTCCATAGAACGACAAACTGACAGCGGGCTAATAATGTGTTAATTTTTTGAATTAAGTTTATTTAAAAAATAATTTTCCTTGGAAACGTAGATTTGTCGTATCATATCCACTTGCCATCCTCGTATCATTGTAGTAGGATGTTAGTAACCGTGATGACACTGACTAGCATACGCACGCCTTCTTGCTGTGCCGGCGCTGTGTTCACGTTGCTAAACAATAACAACAAACTATTCACTGCATGCAGTGAAATCCCTGCTTTCACTCTCTGGCCAAGATGATATAATGCGTGACAATCGTAATTATAAATTTGAGACACATTTTTATTGTAAAACATGGCTAAAAAGCGACACGTTGAAAAATAAAGTTGAGTTCATCGCATGCTCGCGAATTCACGTCCAAAGCCTTGTTTTATTTTTCGATGGTCCAGGATTGCATATCGACCCGAGGTCGTTCTTTTGCGATTAGACGATTGTTAGGTGTCTACTAGTATTAAATATATGCTTCAAGTTTTTGAGACAGACTATATCTGACGTACACAATAAACACATCATTAATTTAACTTCAAACAATTGCAACTAGGGAGATTCTTGGCTCATATTTTCCGCAGTGACGTGTTAAGTTTGCGATCACGGTTACCATTGTCTTCATTGAATCTGTTATTTGATAACGAGCAACACATTACTGTGTGAATGTTTGGCACATCTTGTTTCAGCATTTCCACACCCCGTGATATTGATTGACAGTATTATTCAAGCTTCAAGCAGCTCGTCTTTTTATCGTTTCGTGTTTTCGACATTTATCCGCCAAAATCTCAAGTCGTGCACTATTTATTATTATTCATAAATACAACATACATCTACTACTACACAATATGTCTACATTTTGAAAAAAACACGATTTCACCATCAGACAACTAATAAATTTATTAGTTGTAATACATTTTTCATTTTACCGGAGCATGGCTGGAGCTGTTTAATACAGTGAGGAGATGATCTCATGATTGTTTAGAAGCATATATATATATATATAGTTTACCTAAGTCAATACTTTCGAGATAAAATAGCTTAAGATTAAGTAGCTTTCAAGATCAAAAGTGGTTTTGAAAGTTGAGTGCATTTCTGTGCATCAATCTCTTTCAAGTTATAGCGTTGTTTGGAAATTCTCAAAACCACAGTTTCGTTTCCCCCAATCCTTGTACATTTTTTACTAGTGAGGCCCAACACAATTGAATATTTTCAGATTTTCTGTACTGGAATTTAGAACTAATATCTGCTGGATTCATTCGCAGTATATGACTATTCTTGTCAGCATACGAACTTTAAGTCGATGACGTCATAGTTCCATCCCTATCGCACTTACTATTATTATTTACTCTTCCATTGTCTTTAGCATACTGGAAGGCCAAAATTTCCGAATTATACAAACGTATTGGTAATATCATACATCAAATATTGAAAAAAAATCCACGAAAAGGTAAAACATTGTAACAATTCAGGCTAATTTTTAGTCTAACAATAGCTTTACTCACTTGATTTGCTATTGTTTGTTGCGTTGGAAACCATGCTACAAAAGAGGGAAATACTACTTCCATGCAAGCAGTTGTAATATACCTATTTTAACCTTACCTTCACAAACCCAATATTCCCCCGCCCAAAGACTCTGTTTTTGTGTTTTTATTTTGTAGTGTTGACTGTTAATTTCCAAGTTGTACAAAACTGTGAAAGCTTATACAGTAATCTTTGAAGATTAAAAACACTGTTACACATATCATTGGTATACAGTAAGTAGCAACATTTAAAGATATAAGTACCCGAGTAAACGTGTGTAGATTTGTTTTCCCAATAGCGTTTATGTAAAAACAAAACAGTAGACAGAAATAATGCAATAGGGCCTTGTTGTAAGCCGGAATTTCATCCAAATAATTCAGTAATACCATGACATCATGTAAAACACAAGCTGATACGTCACTGCAACAACTTGAATTGAAATATTGGGATTAACCCGCATACTACCGGTTTTAGCAAGCTTATATAATAAAGAATAATGATCCACTCGGTCGAAAGCTTTCTCGAAATCAATGATTAAGGGCGCCCTCTTTTAGTATGGGAGAGATATTTGATGACTATGGTACTCAGAATGAAAATATTGTCTATTGTTCTTTTCCCTTTTCTGTTATTGTACTTTTCCATTCATAATTACACCCTACTATAAAAGAGTTGCGTAAATATATTTCCCAGGGACTTCGGTAATACCTCTATAGTTATTAGGGATATTTTTAACGCCCGTTTTATGAATAGGTGTGAACATGCTCTGTGTCCACAATTTAGAACAATTGTCGCTTTCAAGAATTTTGTTAAATAAGTTTTATAGAATTAAATTTATAAACATTTTTAAGAAAACCTGCCGAGATGCAGTCAACCTTACCGTTTGCCATTATGTTTAATTTCATCAACTTTGATTCATGTCTCTTTCATGAAATCATGAAAGTTGTCATTTTCGATATTCGCATCCAGTTGTACAAACGTTTGATGATATGCTTTTGGAGGGACCCGTGGTTTTACTTCTTAAAAAAAATCTAAATTTTTTTGAGTTATTGTTGAGTACTGTAACAGCATATTTTATCTTGCTAGCAATGTTAAAGTAAAACTTTTCATTTTTTTAGTATAATATAAAATATAATAAAATGTTATGTCTTCATCTAGAATCTAGAGTCTGGAGCGAGAGGAATTTGGTCAGTTGGCCAACATTTAATTTTATTTAATATTACTGTTCCCACAAGCTTGTTCCTATAGTTTACAGCTAGCTTATAAGACTCACACATTGAGAGGAAATATACACGCATTGATAAAGGGATAACAATCGGAATACTGTGCATACAACTGTGCAAACAAATGCTGAGATAGGATTACGTATATATTTTATATATACTGTATTATGAACGTTACCATGCGGTGTATTGTTTTGCATATTGTATTGTTATTGTAATTACTTTTTGGACCTTTTTGACTCTTAAAATTGTCCCCTTTATTATTTACGTATGAGGACGGTGTCGGAATACATTTCCGTCATTACTTACTACGTGCATGGGCAGTACGTTCTGTATAATCCGTGGGGCGGTAAGAGATACGTCAATCGGATTAAAATCAGATGTAGGTATAGGCTTCAATTCTTTTCTATTTTGGTTTTACTTGCTGTTATTAAGTTTTTTTCATATATCCGTATCCAGTCGCCGTAATACGATATAATATATATATATATTAATAGTTACGGCGACCGAGATACGATATATAAAAAAAAAAGCTTGATAACGGCAAGTAAAAGCCAAAAGATATTCATCAATAAACAAAAAATAATAGTAAAAACATATACAAAAAATACTCAGAGCCCATAGCTACATCAAATTTTACATCAGATTGGAGATACATGTAACAGCAAGTGATAATTATATAATGACGCGATAATAGAGGTGCCATTGCCATGGAAATATGATGGTATAGATAATGCGTTGCATATCTTGATATCTTCATATCGTATCCCTCCAACGACATTAATAAAATACCGTTTAGTATTTTTAAAATAAGATAACTTTATCGCGAAGATATTGACGAATAAAATACGAAAAAACTATGTGTACATTCGATGGTACTATATAGCCGATTTGCCCACATTTTGAGGATGTTGGTTATTTTCTGATGTTATTAATTTTAACAATTGAGATGAATTTACCAAATTTATTTTTTAATCACCACTATCAGAATTACAAAAAATAATAATACATGTAACTATTTATTGTTTATTTTGTTTTATGGAGATTCGGAGAGAGTCTATCCATAGACCCTTTTTCCCATCCAATGTGGAACTATGAGATTTATTATTTTTTAAATAATTTATAACCTAAAATGTACGTTAATGCCTTGACCGTGACCGTAGTCATTCTTATAACAAAAATCATTTTGTTTCTCTTCGACGAGTTGTTTGCAATACAAGACCCTAATACAAGACAATATATCAATTACTAGTATAGTACACTAAAGCCCTACATATGTTTATTCAGGCCGCGTTGAGCAACAGTGGGCGTTAACCATATTATGTTCATCTGAAAATATTGCTGAATGGTTGATGACACACTGGTTTATCCGTATTATATTACTGGCATATCCTGCAATGCAATTGTATCCGAGAACAGTGAATTGGGCATCAACATTATGCAAGTAAGTGTAAGTCTTAGTGGACTGTTATCTCATCAAACAACTTCACACGTAAGGCTTGTAATGAAATTAAAAAAAAAATATGCCTATCTTTTTGGGAGTAAATCTGAAAAAAAAATCACCAAACGGAATAACATGCGACGCCACCTACAGTTTTGAGTTTGAATAGCAGTATTCGTTTTTATCAATTTTTTGTGATCGACACTTCCGGCATACTGAACGACATTACTGCGCAAACGCATACTAGTATACAATGTATTGTGTTGGTAGAACAGTCAGTTGACATGTGTACGCGTATTGTAACTGGCTGCGGCTTTTGTTTTGTCCAGTTCATACTTCACGAGTAAAGACCATGAGAAGATAAAAGCGCAGTGACTTGTTCAGATTGATCTTTATTGACGTTTCATTTCCGATGTAACATTGACACCAACTGACAGTCTATCGACAACTTGAACATCACTGACACCAGGTAAGACCCGAGAAATGTTACCTTTGAAACTTCAATATTACTTGATCGGCAATTTCGATAACTTCTGCCATGAATGTATTCGGACACACCTCGTCAACATATCGAATAATTTAACATTGTTGTTACATGTCTTCGCCCCACCGGATAATTACACGTTGGTGGTTCCATGGATGTACTTAGTACATCCATGGTGGTTCTCACCGTATTTTATCGACGTCTCCAGTGCGTACGCCCATACCAGAATACTATAATCTTGTGTTCAGTCACAGTGATGTGTAGGGTGGTGTTTATATTGTGTATATATAATAGGGTCTGTGACTTGAGGTGGGAAAGTGATATACATACGATTTATTTGTACTAATAAGAGCTAATCAGAATGTCATAAGAGAACATGTTTCAAAAAATCCTGGAATTCACAATTATTTTTATCCGTAAGTACACATTTCACTTATGTTCTTAATTATCTGATAAGCTTTTAATTTCAGTGACTTTAGAAACATTTTCATCTGTGTACAGGAATGCCGTCCGCTAGCTTGAACACAGACCTGAACAGCAGCTCTTGAATAATAAAACTTGACTGAATGTTTACAAATGGATTATTTTATAAACATGTTCCCTTTTCTAATGTACACATTGAGCTGACACATGATAAATAAACATGACACAGATCTATCAGTTCAAGTGAAGTACAGCCATGACACTTGATTCTTCTTAGTTCAATGACTGCACTCAGTGTGCAGTTATACAGCCAATCAGTCTATGAGTTACTGTAAAATCTGTATTAAAAGCTGCGGCTTCTATTAAAATGGTACAATGCAACAGAGGAGATGCGGCTTCTATTTGAGCATCTACACATATGCGACCTGGTGAATTTTTGGGTCTCGATTGTTCAAAAAGAATGGGTGCGGCTTCTATTAGGGATGCGGCTTCTAATACAGATTTTACGGTACTACACAAATGTACCTATGAGTGTACCCCCCCCCCTAACCACATAGGACAAAAGTCATTTACAGCCAAGCCCTACCTGGACCGTATATCCTAGAGAAGAATACAAAAGAAATTTAGGTTAGAATTACTTATGCTAATTAGGGCATGCTGGTAATTGGTGTTAATGATCAACTTTTAATTACAGCTAACTTCATGTTTATTGTAAATAATTCTCACTTCAACAAAAATAATTACCGGTAATAGAAGAAGAGGTTTCTTATGAATTGTAACGTTTTTCAGCTTTTTTCAGCTTATCACATGACATACAGTGTGAAGGATAATATTTTCAAGTTTTTTGAGAAAAGAGACACAAAATTATTGATTTCTGAAAAATACTATGCCACAAAATTACAAAAAATAAATTATGATTCTTATCTGGGTATTATGAAGTGTTTAGACAGATAAATGACAATTTATTTTGGATTCTTGTCTAAACTATTTTAAGTGATGCAAACAAATTGATTGTTTCAAGATATGTGACATCATTGCATTGCACTCTTTTGTTAAGCTTAGGTGAACTCATTAAGAATTACAGTTAGTATTTTAGTAAGAATTCTGATTTCCTTTGTTGTTTGCCTCAGTTTTTTATCTTACTTTTCTTAGGTCTATGACCAGATTTAACCCACCTTCTATGATGTGTACATATTTGGTTTCAAAACCTATGTGAGTTTCGGAAGCACATCCTGCATAAGGTAAACTTTTCCGGAATGCACATGTTTTACAAAATAATGACTGAGATATTTATTGTTTTGCATTAATAATTCAGGTGTTACAAGTATTGTGCATTTATTTTTATTTATGTATTACAGGAGTTATTTAATAGTACCGGTAAATAAAAAAACATACCATATGATGTACATTATGTGTACTTGCAACTTAGTAAATACAAATAAAAAAACTAGTATTGGTAAATAAAAATAAATATGTCATATATCTAACAAATTGTTTAAAAAAGAATGAATACAAAACATGCTGACAGGTATAGTACAAAAAAAGAAATATTTTGAACTTATACTTGTAGCACAAACTCAAACAGTCTCTTTGGAAAAAAACAAATTTAATTGAAGAATCATTTTGCCCAAAGTTGAGTATATGTCTGGATGGGTTTTGTCAGGGAGGGTATTGTCCAGACCCCTCTTTGGGAGCATGAAAACTGACTGAATTTCTTGCAAACAGCTTTCGTATCTTTAAAGACAATAGCCATGCATTTCATTAACAGAACACACAGCTGCATAGAAAAGCAACTGTAACTGTAAAGAGAGACATTTGATGGCAGAGACTTTAAATGGCAAAAATTCAGAATCTTTCTTGAACTAAATTAGTAAACATTATATTGGCTTCAAGGTTTTCAAACATAGATTTAAGGATTTTTCTTTATTAGTGATGGTTCGGAAAAAAAGAATAGCATTTTGTAATTCACATGTATGTCTATAAAAAATTATTTTTTGGTAAGCGTTTAGAGCATCAATGAATACAACAATGAAGTAATTCACACGGCAAACAAGAACTGTTGACAGATCGGTCTATAGAGTCTGTGCACATGCCCTCATTTTGCCCACCTCAGTTTTAAACAAAAAAGGTATTGACTGCATTGACACATGTGTGTGTAAATAGTGACGCCTTCGTGTAAGTGTTGGGTTAGGGAGGAGCTGCATACAAGTGCTTTATACATAATGACATGACAGTCAGAAAGCTTAAAACCACTGTACTGCATGTTTTCTGACATACTGTCTCATCAAGCGAATACATACCAAGGATCAGTCTGTGAATACGGGTAATTTGTAAATTTTGAAATATTGAATTCACCCATGGAGACGTAAAATTTAATACTGTTGCGTATAATTTTGAAATTCTATAAATTTGTCTGCAGATTATGATGAGAGGTGTGTGTCTTTGGAAGATTGTTATTCTCCATCTGATCCTAGTACTTATAGTAGATTGTGGTCTAAGTGGTTGTACTGGCGATGAGTTTGATCACCTTGGGAAGTCACATCAAGATTTCCTTCAAGAACATATTGAAGATAAAGTAAGGAAAAGACCAGACATCAAATTCATAGATCCAAATTTACATCCAGAGCACTACCAGTATTATTTTACAAATAATCCCGAAATTGCTGAAATATGTCGATTGAATACATCATGCCCATATAAGGTAAGTTTAGAATACACATATTTTGTTTGTGCTTTATATCATCACTAACACTGTTTTCCACATATATCGGTACATGTGTTAATAAACATCTGTGCTTCGGATGTGTTTTGCCATGGATGTACGCTTTAATCCCAATTTGTTCTGTGTCTGGAATGAGAATTTAGGCTGCAGACATTTCATTTCATATATTTTCCACTTGTGTAATATTAAGCCTAATTCTGTTTAAGTGTGAGTGTATCAGCAAATAATTATTTTGATCTCGGATTTCAAGAAAATTGTTTGTTTTGAACTTCATTATTGACATATTTTGCCTGCATATTAGTGGGTACATGTATATACTGTGAAATACTTTATTTTCGTTGGAATTAATTTTTGCTGAAAAGGCTTTTTGGGCGTTTTGTATGGAATTTATTTTCACTGATTTTTGATCAGTTGAATGTGAAATATAGGAAAAAAGTATATTTGCTGGATTTTATCTTCAGCGAAAATAGCAAAAATAAATTCCAAGCGAAAATAAAGTAGTCTACAGTAATTGTTACAGTTCTTCATTATATTTTGCAGTATTTGCCAGATATCACGATTGTTTTTCAATGCAGTATAATAATTTCTTGTCAATAAAGTTCACAGGTGATAGAAACTGGCAAACGTTGAAAATAATGCGAAATTGGGCATTTAACATTTTCAATTGTTATCGATACTATCCAATTTTTTAAAAGCAATGTCTAGTGTAATACTAGTAATCAGCTAATACCGATAGTGTTCAATTGTTCTCAGGCAGTAAAAATTAAGGTTATTAAATTAATCAGTGATTAAAATATTTACTATGACATTTTTTAAAATGGCGACTGAAACGAGAATGTCAGTGTACGTAGCCTTTAGTGATTAAATATGACCTCATACACACCCACCAACATTGAGTAACAACCACATAGAACTATACAATATAAAACACTAACAATACAGACTTGGACTAAAGAAGTTTCTTTCATTGTGACTAAGTTGTGAATGTCCTTGGGAAGAACATTGCAATAAGTACACGCATTGTTTGAGAAAATCACCTGTACACTGTGTATTCATTTCAAAGTTTTTACCAGTTTCAGTGCATTGAAAGCTTACAGGAATGCTATCAATAACTACGCTATCTGACATGTGTTAGCTCCATCAGAGTCACATCTCTAGCAGGAGTGCATATGAACCAAAAATCTTTGCTGGATACTTCAATCATTAAAAATTACTTTAACACCTGTAATGCACTACTAATAGAGCAATTACTGTATGTACCTTTAATAGAGTTCATATGGTATTTTAATTGTTGTCACTTTATAACTGACTTATGACATCTCTTTTAGTGAGCATCAATCAATTTAGTTATGAATGTCTATTTTCATACCAGGATTGTGAATTGGTCTTTTATTTGAACAACAAAACTGTGTTTGATTCATCAACTTTTCTCACCACACCCATGTTCATTAGTACTCACACCCTATACAATTTTGGACCTTCCATGTTGGCATTTCTGTGCTATATACGGTACCATTCATGGTTTGCATCTCACTTTTTGGATGTAGACGCCCAGTTCCAATTTGTAGCGTATCCATGACCTTTGCTAACCTTCAAGGTTGAGGTTGTCACTTTATTTAAAATTGATTGCAAACAGAGAAGTTATTTGGGTCAGGAATTGTCCTAATCGCACGGTATTTAGCCATATAAATGAAGTCCAGTAATGGTTTCGGTTCAACCCACCCCCCCATCCAGTTTAAACTATTTAATACAGCTAGGTCTTTGACATTTCCTGTTTCGTAATTATCAGTGTTGTTTGTGCATTTGTCTTTTTTCATTAAATTCTCAAAAGCTCATTTTCGCCATATTTTATTAAAATCTTTAAATGGTCTTTAAACTCCCATTCAGACACCGCCCTGTTAAAAAGTTAGTGTTAATACATCAGTTTAAGCATGCAGGTACGTGTATTGTGCGAGTTGGGGGGCATAGAAAGAGGGTGTCATTAGGGGGGTTTATACAACCTTTACAAAGTAATTAAACACTGTTGTGTCGGCTACACAGTCTGCCTGCTCGTTATTTCATTTGGGTTTTTAAAATAATGTACTTTTGATTGTTTTAAATTCTCAGGACAAAAAAATAGGGCTACTCAAACTACCACTACAATCACTCCTACAATGTACTGTGAAAATATTTTATTTTCGTTTGGAATTAATTTTTGCTATTTCACTGAAGGAATGATTCAGTGAAAATAAAATCCAGCAAATATACCCTTTTTTCTATATTTTACATTCAACTCATCAACAATCAGTGAAAATAAATTTCCTACAAAACACCCAAAAAGTCTCTTCAGGGAAAGTTTAATTCCAGCTAAAATAAATTACAATAAATTCGTAGCAGTGAAAATTAAGAAGTTTTCAGTTCAATAAATTCAAGTAAAAATAAATATTGAATTGTTAGATTAATATGTACTGGTACTGATGTAAATTGTGCTTCAAATAATTACACAATAATGTTACTTCCATGTTAAATAGAATATTTTATTTGACTCAAAATAATGTAAGAAATTACAAAATTTATGGCCAAAAAACCCCCAAAAGGACAGATACTGTCACAGAGCACAATAATAGATAAAACATTGATAAAACAATTAGCATAAATTTCTATAATTTTTAGTCCCTGTTCGAACACAGTTCGAAAACAGGGACTTATGTTTTGACCTCTGTGTGTCCGTTCATCCGTGCATGCGTCTGGACCTGTATCTTAAAAATGCTTGGACCAATCACAATCAAACTTCACACATACATCATACATGACATTATAATTATAATTTTTTTTTCCTATTAAGCTTTTGACATTTTTTAATTTTAATTTTATCTTATAGTTTAGCTACTTTATTCTTTATGATTTGTATTTTATTTACCATACTGCGCCCTTTGATGGCATAGTAGTGTAATAAAGTTATTATTATTATACTTATACACATCAATTTATTCACGATCTGATTCAAGATGGCCGAATGGCAGACATTTTTGTACTGAGAAATCATCAAAATTTCTCGGCTGTTTACAGATGGATTTTGTTTTTCAGATGAGATTAAAAATGGCTGACTGGTGGCCATTTTGTTTTAATGAATGGGCTTCTAGAGCCATATCTCTGACATGCTTTGACTGATTATGTTCAAATTTTATATATTCATGATACTTCATGTTGTAGATATATACATGTATTCAAGATGGCTGATTTTGTTTTAATTAATGCTGTTCCAGAGCAATATCTCTCAATGTGGACAAGTACTTGTTTGATGATCAGATACAAATGTCAATCATTTTAATTTTAAACAATCATCATAATCATATTCCTGACATGGTTATATTCCAGCTTTATTTCTATAAACAAAACTATAAATCTTAAATTTGATAATTAACGGGGACTGTGCCATGCATGGCTTGTATGAATTGTTATAGACTGTTGTCAATGAAATTATCAATTAAATGACATTGTATTTTAATTCTTGCAATGTTTATTTATATTATTACTACTCCATATGGAATCTACAAATGTTTTTCCTTCTCATATTTAATATTTGTACTGTACCAGTATGTTGCTTTATTTGTCTTTGTTTTAATTGTTTTCAAGGATTCTTTAGACAGCGGTAAATGTTGGGGTTATGAAGAGGGATGCTCTAAAGATCAAATGCTTAATTATCCTATATGCGATAAATTACATGAAGCTTGGTAAGTTAAAATACAATGTGTCGAAATAAAGGTTGATTTCAAATATACTGATGTAACCACTCTAATAAAAAGTTTGAATTGATGCCTGGATATATTAATAGGAATATTAAATTCAGGTGAAAAAAAATATGCAATATTGAACTGTGTAAAAAATTCAGTGACTCTTTCACAAAATATAATCAATAAAACACAGTTGTCACTCTGCATCAGGCTTGATATGGGTCCCATGCTAGTACATAAACAACACATGTAAATACATTTACCTTGCTCTTCACTATAACTTTGGTGCTTTAATAAATACATGTTATAAGTCTTCTTGTCATAATGTGTGAAAAAGAAAAATAGATTTAGGACACAGATGTTTTTAACGATAGCATGTATATGATTTTATAATTGTTTTCGTATAGCCCTTAAGTTGAAATTGGAGGTCAATTATTTACTGGGAGAAAAATTATTTGGCTAATTTGCATAATAATAATTAGGGTAAGGTGTCATTTTAATTTGCTCAATTAGATATTTTCCATATTGAGATTTCTTGGAATATGTTTTTTGTCCATACCAACCATGACAACATCCATAGCAACCAGTTCAAAAACTCAACATTTCCACAATTACAATGTCCCTTCATTGCAATGAACTTGTAGTTATCACATTATGATAGTAGCACATAATCCACCTAGGTGTCAATGTGATTGAAATGACATGAACTTTTAGTATTTGATTATTGCACATGTGTTTTAACAAATTTCATTTAAATGGCTTAATATCTTCAACCATAATAAATTCACTATTATTTTGTTGTGAAAAACAAAAAATGACATCAACATATACCTTTTGAATTTTGTTGTTTTTATATATTTTTATACTATGAAATTCATATTAGCAAATACATTCAGTTTTTTATTACCAGCTGTTGAAATTTAAATTATAGTTATTGGTTAATGTGTAGTAAGCTGTGTTTGATTGGTTTACGGCCAGCTGGCGCATGTCACTCTAATGGCCATTACCCCCGTTCTCACTAGCGAACTCAATTTGGATCAAGGTAGATTTAAATATTGGCATATGCCGAAACTTGTGTGGGACAAAATAGATATGTTGACACATGTTTTGCATATCTTGGGCCACTTAGAAAGCCCAGATCCAACTGCGGGCATGTGGCGCCTTTTGTATGTTGAATTGCATTTAGTCCTCCAAAACCGACACCTATCTAATGTATGGTAATTAAAATTAATGGAACATAAAAATGTTTTTAGTTTTGCGGTAATATCTGGATATGTTCATATCTAGTTCTGGCTTTTCTAGAAAATTTTGTGATGTCACCACTAATGTTGCCATTCATGAAATTATAAATTCTAGCTAAATTCTACTTTCAATGCTGAAGTTATGTTGTGTGGTAACAATTAGGCGATTTCATGTTGATTTTCTATAAAACATCTTCTGACTTTTAATAAATTTCTAGCAGTCACATTTGTCAACTTCACAACGAAAACGATGCCATATATTTATAAAAATATCTGTATACTTCCTATCAAGAAACCTCCATTGTTATGGGAGCATATAGCATATAAAGGCGTGAGTTGTACCTTTGCCTGCCGAATGGCAGGAGACTTCACTAACGCCTGACGGAATAATGTAAGATCGCTGGTAAGATCAATACACTGAATTCGCAAAGTTCACACCTTAACTCTTGCAATGAGTTTCAATTTGTATTCATTTTGGGGGCCATGGTAACACTACAAATCAAAGCCATGTTTTCAGCAAAAAATCACAGACTGTTTTCAACAAGTTGATAAACATTGGGCGAAAATTTGCCAGCATTTTATCAGACATTATGTCAACAAACAAATAAACTCTTTGATGGCTATCACCATCTGACGTTACTTCAATTTGAATTGGTACTGAGAAAAATCATCAGGGGAAGTGAAAAACTACATTGTTCTGTCAGGCGTGTGTTGGCTTTGGAGCACAACGGAGGGCTCAACTCATGTGACCTTGTCAAGCTCGGGAGCATGTTACTTCAGTACTTTGACAAATGAGGATGTGATCTCGGCTTATGTTGACTGCATCAGTCCCTTTCTTGATATGAACGCAGCGTCTGTATCCTTACCAAACAGCACCCACCGATGGTGCAGTTGTGTAATAAAGTTATTATTATTATTAATCCCTACACATACATCAAAGATTAACTTAATCTTGGTCCAGCTCAAGTTCACCAGTTAGAACACGGCTATCGGTCAAGGTATAAACGTTGACAAGTTGCATTCATGTTACAGAAGGTCTTGGTCTAAGTTGGCCATGCTGTAATATTTATGTTATCATAGTAGCCAAATCAGCATACGTCAAAAAAAATCATGATCTCTGCTCAAATAGAGAGCCAGAATCCAATAGTGGTGTACAAATCAATAAAAACAAATCCAAACAGATTTTTGTTGTCATGATGATTAATGGTAAATACCATGACAGTAAACAGCATCAGTCATGTGTGCAGATCGGGACAACATGATAGATCAAAAAATGAGTAGAGTGGGGCTTAAATGAATATAAACGCTACTGTTATTTAAGCACAAACCTATTTGGTTCCAATTAATTGAGTCCTAATAAATGTGAACGTAACTGTTATTAACCGGTAAGCCTGCCAAAAACTGAGTGGAACCCAAGTGAATCCCAAACGTGAAAATAATTATGGTAATCTCTCTACAAACATGACAGATTAACAATATTCTGCACATGCTGAAATCTTGTAACATGAACACAACAATATTTAATTGTCATGTATGATTTGTTATTTTTAGGGCAACAACTTTAGAGGAGCAAGCAAAAGAATTTTTTCGAATTGCAGATTTTGGTTACGTCAAAGAAATGCATGACACTATGCAGACATTTTGTATACCACAGAACAAGGTCAGTATGTCTTGTATATGTAAACTTATGGAATGTGCTATTATATATCTTAGGTGATACATATATTTTCTTTTTGCTGATTAAAAATATTAAATTTTTTAAAAATTAAGTTCCAAATTAATTTGTGTCTTCTAGTTCTTGAGATGTACGTAGTCTGTCAAGCTTTTCTGATTCAATTTTCTGGATGTTGTTATCTTCTAACCTTAAATTAAAATCAGATGCTCGTAAAACTATCCATGATTTTAATTTTTAGCTCCGCTGTCGACTTTGTCGAGCGGAGCTTATCATATGAGTGATTGTCCGTCGTCGTCGTCCGTCGTCGTCGTCCGTCGTCTGTCGTCCGTGTCAATGTTTTACTTTTTCGACTTCTTCTTGAAAACTACAAGCCTGAATGCTTTGATACTTGGTGTATATGTACCTTGGGTAGACCTCTCTCAGATTTGTTCATTTCATGATGATATCTTCAATTCTCTAATTTTGGTGAATATTTTTGTCATTTTTAGTAAAAAGTGATATTTTCGACTTCTTGTTGAAAACCGCAAGTCCAATTGCTTTGATATTACGTATATAGGTACTACATGTCGACCTCTCTCAGATTTGTTCATTTTGTAATGATATCTTTAATTCTCTAATTTTGGTGAATATTTTTGTAATTTTTGGTAAAA